AGTACATCTCAATAATTTAATCTTTAAATACACAAGAGTTATTTTAAGAATTGAGTAAGAAAGAATTTGGTTGTTAAATATATTATGTTTAGATACTTAATGGATTAATATGAAGATTGTTTATGATTGGTTTTCAATAGTAAATTTTCTTTAAAGGAGTTCAATAATATAAGTGTAGTTTTTTAAGAGTCCAAAAGTCTGTTTCATTGTGATAAAAATTAATTAAATTGATAAGAATAATAAAAGCTTAAAAGGAATTGAAAAAAACGGAATATTTTAAGAATATTTAGTAAAAATTTGTAGAAGGATATTAAAGTTGGTTTAATGAAATATAATTTTAATTCTGAAAAGATAGATATTAAAAGTATATTATTTATATAAGTTGGTAATAAATAAGATCTACATATAGATATATTATAGATTTAATACTAATTGTAAATTTATTATCTAATTAGTATAGCTTGTAGAATTTGATAAAATAAAGTTTAAAAATCTAATCATATTTTTATTGTTAAATTAATGGGAAGTACTTGCTGCCATAAATAACTATAGCCAACCTTATCTTCGGGTACATGATTAATAATATCTGCAACAGAACTAATATGTGATAACAACAATGTTTCTATAATTAAAAAGTCTAATCATTAAGAGGAAAGTCCAGGCGAGCCACCATAAAAATAAGCATCTTAAGGAGTTTCAATTCCTTAGGTTTATGAAGAAGTATCGATGCTAAATTAGTTGAAACATCAAGTGCCTGCCTTAAAATTTAGCAATACTAAAGGAACTATGCATGATGAAAGACCATTAAAGGATTCGAAGGAGTCTTTTGAGCCTTCAGAAAAATCAGATCAAGTAGATGAAGCAAAGGAAGACTGCGAATTAAAAAAGGAGGAAGTTGTTTAAAATCCTTTAGAAAAAATAGTTTAAGCAGAAAAATAGGAGAGATTAAATGAAGCTTAATAAAAGTAGTAATAAGATACAGGAACAAAAAAGTCTCCAGCAACATCTTAAAAGACTGTACCTCGTGGTCCCATAGATCATAGTCCAAGTAGAAAACCTAGTATGGCTTCAGTAGGCTCATTATCTGTAAAAATTGGGGTGGAATTATTCGTAAATTTAAAAAAATAATCAATTACAAAAGTATATACTCTTGGATAGGTTTTGGGTTAAGGTGCATTCGGAAAAGTATGGAAAGTAACTCATAAAACAACAGGTATTAAATATCTATAAATTATGAGGTTTAATTAGAGCTATGAAACAAATTCGAAAATAAGAATTAATTAAGGAAGATGAATAAAAAATGTTTTCAGAAATGAATCTATTAAAAAATCTAGATCATCCTAATGTTGTTAAATTATACGAATTGTATTAAGATTCTAATAATTATTATTTGATAACAGAGTATTAATAAATATATTTTAGATATTTATGTGGAGGTGAATTGTTCGAAAGAATTAAAAAAATGAATTCCTTTAGTGAGAAAAGAGCTAGTGATTTAATGAGATAAATATTAATGGCAGTAGTGTATTGTCATGATTAGAAAATTGTTCATAGAGATTTAAAGCCCGAGAATGTACTCTTTTCTGGGACTGAACCTGAAGCATTACTAAAGGTTATTGATTTCGGATGTTCTAGAAGATTTAATACTTAAAAGAATATGACTAAAAGATTAGGAACTGTATTTAATTATTAATATATATATTATAGCCATATTATATAGCACCAGAAGTCTTGAATCATAATTATAATGAAAAATGTGATGTCTGGTCCTGTGGAGTAATTTTATATATTTTATTATGTGGATATCCTCCATTCACAGGAAAAAATGAGAATGAAATATTCGAAAAAGTAAAATTAGGAAAAATCAAATTCCCAAGTATATTTTATTTTATTAATTTTTTCAATAGTTGAAGAATGGGATACTATTAGTAGAGAAGCTAAAAATTTAATTTAAAGAATGCTTTAAGTAGATGTTAATTCTAGATATTCAGCATCTTAAGCATTAAATGATCCTTGGATTTAAAAACATGCACCTAATACTTAAATTAATAAAAAAGTACTTGAGAATTTGGCACAATTTCAAGCTAAAAGTGAATTTCGATCTGCCATTGTGTAATATATTATTAGTCAAATGACAACCAATAAAGAGTTGGAAGATCTTTAAAGAACATTCCAATCTTTAGATAAAAATAAAGATGGGGTATTAAATAAAGCAGAATTAGTAGAAGGATATACTAAAATTTTAAAAAGTAGAGAATAAGCTGAAGAATATGTTGAAAAGATTATTTCTAAACTTGATAAAAATTAATCAGGAGTTATTGAATTTAATGAATTTTTAATGGCTGCAATCAACGAAGAAAAGATTATACCTATTAAAAAGGTTGAATAAGCATTCAAGATTTTCGATTCTGATGGAGATGGTTACATAAGTAAATAAGAAATAGAAGAAATCATGGGAGAATTGAATGCCGATGTTTGGAAACTCTTTTTAGAAGAAACAGATGGAAATAATGACGGCAGGATATCTTATGAAGAATTCTATAAATTAATACTGAACAAATGAATATATTATGTTTTTATATACTTCATAACTGTATTAAAATAAAACTTATTTAAAATTCTAATTTTAAAAATTTTTAAACTATTCCAAAATCTATTTTATTGTTTCCTTAATATTATTCATTATTTTTATTTGATATTTCATTATTTAATCTTTATTGGATACAATTTTTATCATTTTCTGAAGTTTTTCACATTTTTTAGTGATGTTTATAATGCATTTAATATTAAATTGAAATTGCGATATTAATGAACAATTCTTTCATTTCCCTGACTATAATTTATTTTATTCCAAAAATAAGCCAGCCTTAAATTATAAAAAAAAAACTTCGTTAATGAATAAACATGAAAAAATTATGAATTTTAAATCAACTTTAGATACTTTCTATTTTACTTTAAATCTTCTTACTTCTACATATTAATAATTGAAATCAAACAGTGAATAAAAATAATATTAATATTAATTCCACAAAAATGACATTTAGAGACTTCTATCTCAAATATTTGATTAATCTAATTATTTATTAAATTGCCGATTGAGTTCTAAAAAATAAGTAAAATATTTTTAAGAGCGATAAAAAAATTTAAGTTAATAAATATTATAAAATAATTATTAATCTCTAAAATATACAAAAAATTTTTAAAAAGAATAATTTTTCATCTTAAAAATACATTTTAAAATGAATAAGGAAGATTTAAAAATGATTTCAAGCATAATCAATTATTTAAAATTCATAGTTAATCAATATTATGCATAACTTTTTTTTACATGTACTAAACCCCATATTTAGTTGAAGTGAACATTTTTCCAACATTTTCATTATATTCTTATACAGTGGAATGTATCTACTTCTTTTATTATTAAGTCTTATCGACTGATTTGTGTTATTATTATTTTGGCTTATTTTCAGTTTCTGTATTCTAAATAATATCTTTGATTGCCTATTTACAATGCTCAATCTCTTAAAAATCATGAATTTTCTGATGAACAGAAAATTTTTAAGGAGGAAGAGATCTATTTTTTTGTTATTTATTCATTAATTATATTAGTACATAAACTTAATTCTAATATTTATTGATTTTTATCGAAATTAATACAAAACTAACAAATTTAAATGAAGTTACATTGATTAAGAAATAGGTAGGATGATATGAAGAATTAAAAAATACTTTTAGATAATATTTAATAATCTGAAAAGGAAGAGATATATGTTTAAATTTAAAATTAGTAAATAAATGGTTTTAATAATGATAAGGTTGAATGAATGAAATAAATTTAATAAGTGAGAGTTAGAGTATAATTTGTAATAGTCAATGATTAGTATGCTTTTGATGAATGTTAAATGTTTCTGTATAATTATTTTTAACAGTTAATTTATTTTAAAATGACTGAAGAAATTGAGGCACATATTCTACAGAAGTATGAGATAATGTAGAAAATGGGCAAAGGTGCTTATGGAGTTGTATGGAAAGCAATAGTTCGTAAAACAAAATAAATAGTTGCTTTAAAGAAAGTATTTGATGCTTTTCACAATTCTACAGATGCACAGCGCACATTTAGAGAGGTAATGTTCTTATAAGAGATGGCCCATGATAATGTTATTCGAATGACTAATATTCACAAAGCTGATAATAATAAAGATCTTTATATTGTGTTTGATTTTATGGAAACAGATCTTCATGCAGTCATTAGAGGTGGGATTCTTGAAGAGATTCATTAAAGGTATTTCGATCAATAATTTAGATATATTATATATTAGATTCTTAAAGCTCTTAAATATATTCATTCTGCTGAAATAATACACCGGGATCTAAAACCTTCAAATGTTTTATTAGATGCTGAATGTAATGTTAAAGTTGCAGATTTTGGGCTTGCAAGAAGTCTTCTTATGCCATTAGATGAGAATGCAATTTTGACAGAATATGTAGCAACTCGTTGGTATAGAGCTCCTGAAATTCTTTTAGGATCTACTTAATATACAAAAGCAGTTGATATGTGGTCTGTTGGATGTATCTTAGGTGAAATGATTAATGGAAAACCTATATTTCCTGGCAGTTCTACACTTAATTAAATTGAAAGAATTATCGAAGTAATTGGTAGACCAACCAATTTTGAATTAGAAAGTGTTCAAGCTCCTTTGGCTACTTAAATTGTAAATAATATCCCAAAAGAAGCTCGAATTGGATTTACAAATTACTTTCCTAAAGCAACACCTTAAGCTTTAGATTTAATACGAAAACTATTGTCATTTAATCCTAATACCAGAATAACTGTAGAAGAAGCTTTACGACATCCATATGTCACTGCTTTTCATAATAAATAATAAGAAACTATTACTAACCCAATCAAAATATCTATTAATGATAATAAGAAATTTAGTATCAAAGAATATAGGGAAGCTTTATATTAAGAAATAACAAAAAAATATGATTCTAAAAATGAAAATAAATTTGAAAACTCTTTAAAAACAAATGATAATCATTAATAATAAGAAAGAAGAAGAACTTAAAGTTTTTAATAACCATCTAAAAAACCTATTGGACCATCAAATATTACACTTCCAAGTGAATAACCCATTATTAGATAATCTGATACCAATATTATGCAATAAATTAAAGATCATGGTAATAGAGAAGTTTAACCAAAAGATTACTGTATTAAAGATTATCTTACAAAAGATTACACTAATAAAGATTATTCTGGATAATTTAATGTTAATACAAGTAAAGAATTTGTTACTGGTCAATTAGGAAAAGAACTTAATAAAGAAAATTTAAAATCAAAAAATATAGTTGAAATTACAAATAATAACAATAAATTAGAAAGAGATTATTCCTTATCTAAAAAATAACATTTTTCTATGTGGACTTAACCTAACTAAAAACCTTAAATTTCCAATCCTTAATAAAGACCTCCTTCTGCTAGTTTTTATTCAACTCTTAATTAAACTTCAAGTAATTAGTTAAAATAATAACCATAACCATAGTAATAATAATAATCATTATAATCATAATAGTAGCATTCTAATAATGTTCCTACTTAAAAAAGAATGAGTACTAAAATGCCTACTAGTGGTACAAATACTTCATTTTATGTTCCAACAGACAAAGTTAATACTAGTTTCAATAATGGAAAGAAAATATCAAAAGACAATAGCTTCTAACTTGATCAAAATATTTCCAGTATATAGAATATACCATAATCTTCTATGAATTAATAACCATAACAAGTTGGGCTACATTAAAAAAGTATTTATCATAAAACTTATAAATGTAGCCCTGAGTATGAACTATCAAACTTATCTGATGTAAAAAGGCATTTCTGATTAAAGAAGTAAATAAAACTTAGTAAATCATTAAAGAACATAGTCTTAACTTGGATCAAATAATAGTGTTTTAATAAATCGATGCAAAGAATTTATCTAAAATATGCATGCCATTAAAAAATGAATTAAATTTTCAAATTAAATCATGATTACTTTTCAATTTTAAACTTATATATTCTTTATTTTTTGAATCACAAGAAATTAAGATTTTCCATAAAACAAATTATCTAATTATTTTATCTTCATAATATTTAGATAAATAAAATAAATAGATTTCATTAGATTGAACAGCTACATGAACATTTAGAATTTTCCTTATTCTGGTTGTATTTTTAAACAATATATATATCACATAATTCTCTCTTTTCAATATTATCTCTAAATGAAATTCTTTTACCCTTCACCCCTTTAATAATAGGATGATTGTATTTGTCAACTCTTGGATAAACATACATTTTTTGTTTTTTTTCTACCTCTGTGATGCAGATAAAAGTTTAAGTTTGAGTTTCAAATCGTTCATTCATAATTAAATTATTTTATTTATATACTTTATTATTGATGTTTACTTTTTTTAATTTAATATTAACATAGACTATCATTTTTCATTTAAATTAACAAAATATTTTAGATTGAAATCAAGATGAATCATATTATATTTAAATTAAAATCAAGAAAGTATTTAATTTAATGATGATAATTTAAACTTTTTCATTTATAAATATAAAAATAATTTAATATAAATCGATTTTCAGAATAGACCCAATACCTTATGAAAAATTTGTTTTCTCAAAACATAAAAATATTTTTTTAATTAGAAAGCTATGATTAGATAAAAGAAAAATTGAAATGAAATTCAAGTCTTTAAGTAAAGGGAAGAATTTGATAATTTATAAATAATGTATCTTATTAATAAGATCAAAAATAAATGCTAAATTTCTTAATACATAATTCATAAGTCTGAAATGAACACGAAGATCTGATCTTTTTGGAGAGTTTCAATACTTATAAATTATATAAATTAAGATTTGATAGAAAAATTACGATAACACCACTTTTGAAAATTAATTTGAAACAAAAATAACAATGAAAAATTATGGTTTAATATAGAACAGTTAAACGATATAATAATTATTTTATTGAAATATTCCAGCATATTGAAATATTATAATTTCAATTTTGATTTAATTTTGTGTTTTGAAATACTACTACCATTACTGTAGAAAAGAATCAAACATATAGAAATTAGATATTGAATGATTAAAGTTAAAAAATATAAAAATAAAATAAATTACATATTATTATATTTATATTATTAATTTATCAACAACAAGAGAATGATTTCTCGTTATAATCTTCTATAGTAATAAGAGAACTCCTGTTGTATAGTTTACCGCATTTTTTACATTTAAATGCTTTGAGATATTCCAAAGCATTTTCACAAAAATAGTAAGGTTTATTTTTAATATTGATCTCTTTCATAACTTTTTGGCAAGTTCTCAAACAATAGTAGCAACGCTTCTTTTCTAAACCTTAACATGTAGTCTTACACTCCTAACATTCACATAAATTTGTCTATTTTTTAATTTCCTTATTTATAGGAGTTTAGTATACAAAGTAACAACAATGACATTCTTAAGTTATTAAATTTTAAGCCTCAGATAAACAGTATTTACAACTAAATTAAAAATTCTTTTCATTCTGATTGTTTAACTATTCCCTATCAAAGTCAACAAATTCATCACAATCATAACATATTCCTTTTAAATTGTTAATTAACTCTATAGGACAAACAATTTGATTAATTTAAGGATTTTAATTAATTTGATTGAGTTGTAATTTTTTACATAAATAACTGCATTCTTTATGTTAAATTTATATAAAATCTTCAATTCCTTTATTTTATCTATTAGTTTTATCTTTTTCTAAAATTGATCCCGTATACTAATTTGTTTAAATTGATGGATCAGTGAGAATATTATTAAATCCCTATAAATCCATAATGACTAAATTTCCTTCACTGGCTTAATATGAGAAATGACTAAAAGCTGAATAAAAATATTTATTTGCTTCAATATATGAATGGTTAGTAGTGTACTTTTAAAATTTATGTACAACTTATATATAAGTTTCACCATAGACTAAATTTAATCCAAAAAATGGTGTATCTAATAATTTGTATAAAATTGGATGAGCATAAAAGAGAGGTTACATTTCATTTAATAGATTATTATTTTTTAATCTTTAATTAAAGAAATATGCCATTTGACAAGCATAACAAGATGAGTAAAATCTTATTGTTGCAAGTTCTTCAGCCTCTTTGATTTCTTAATTAGAGATATTTCCTTAGTTGTCAACAAGTCTTTTTGGAATTTTAATAATAACTTCCCTATTATTAATAGCATCAAAAGCCTTATATATATAAGTAGACGAATTATCATTTTCTTTATTTATTTCATTTTTATCTAATGTTATTTTCAAACCTGTGATATTTGATCTTTTTTTTTCATCAATCATTTGGTTATATGTTTTCCAATAATCATCATCTTCATAATCAATAGAGATTGTATCTAATTTCGGTTTGATAAATTCTGCTTTAAAATATTAATATTTATTATTAATTAAAGATTTTAATTTTTTAGTTTCTGTTACAGACATTCTCAATGTAAATCCAACTACATCAAGTATATCTTCTGGTTTTTTTTATGTTGTAATAGTTAACATAGGAAGAACTGCCTTCATTTTTTCAAACATAATATCTGTTTTATCGTTGATTTTAATACAACATAAAAAATTATTCTTTTTTTTTTATTTATATTCCTCCAAAACAGCTTCAAAATAATTTTTTGGCATTTTATCAATTAAATCATCAGATTTAAGATTATGATAATCTCTTCCATGACAAGGAGCATCTGCAAGTAAAAATGTACAAAGTATGCTTTCTTCATGATGTGAAAAATTAAGTTTTAAAGCCTATTCAAATCCAGAAACTACATCCTCTGCTTCATCTCCTCCTCCTTTTACCTCTAATTTTGATATGAAATTCCTAATTTCATCTATTTTCTTTGTAAAATTCCAATAAACTATCTTGTTATCCTTATCACATATATCTCTATATCCTACAAAAGCTACTCTAACTTGAAATCCATTTATTGAATTTAAAAATTAATCTATTATTTTAGTAATAGTATTTTGCACCATGTCTTTCCATGATCTCATAGATCCAGTCAAATCCATTATAAATACAACATCAATAATATTTTATTCTTTTAACCATTTTTTATAATGATTAAACTCTGCACTTTAGCATAACAATTATACTCCATCTATATTAGGTAAAACTTGATTTAATTTTTTTCTATCTTAAGCTATAACAATACAGGACTTTACAGCATTCTTTTAATTGATTTAATTGTTAATCTTTTCCCAATCAGTATGACTTTTTAAACACTTTTTATTTGAGCATTTACCCTTCAAATATGCTACACAATACTAATTCAACCAAGCAGGATGTTTGTCACAATTACACTTTTCTTTCTGACAAAATTCTTCTGGAGTATTATACTTTATTATTGAAGACTATTTGGCTTTATCTCTTAATGCTACTGAATCCCAACGCATATGACTATATTCGCATTTTGCTTTTCTACAAATTTTGAGAATATAATCAAAACATAATTTTTCAGCCCATTCTCTATGTAAAAACTTACAATCTCCAGATTTACAACTTTTAGGACAAAGATTATGAGGAAATACACCATTTATGGTTGATTTAGCTAATTAATCGTTAAATTTCTCATTATTAAAATGCCAAAAACTACAATCGTTGTTTTTGCATTTCAATTATTTAAATTCATCTCCTTATTCTTATTCATTTCTTAAATATTCTATACAAACTCCCACAAATAATCTTTAATGATCTAATTAACAATTGTTATCTTAGCAGAATATAGACTTGAGGCATATTTCTGAGAAATTGTATTCTTTTTCATTGTCTTCCTTTTGATCCATTTTATTTTTAATAGAAAACCAATATCATTAAAAAAAATCTTTTTATTATGTATAAAATATTTCTATATTAAATAAGAGAAGAGGTTTTTTTTAATATTCAAGACGATCCATATATTAGCTCTCAAGCAATGATAGTTCTAATATTATAAAGATTTAAATGGTAATGGCTATCTATTCATGATATCCTTATATTTAAATAATAAATAAGGATATTATATTTTTATACTAATATAATACCTTAGTATTCCATCAATATACTTAATTAAATTTGAATTACGATTCTAATAAATCTAAAAAACTTTAGAGATTTAGTAAATTTATAATAAATAATTTCAATTATTTTAATTGAAATCAGATTATATAAATTTGAAATAATAAGAATAGATACAATTTTAAAGATAAAATTTAAAATAAAATAGTAAAGTACTATGATATGTTTTGGAAAGATCATATTCTAATAATTTAATTGTCACAATATTCTAAAAATTGATAAGAATATTACTACCTTTAGTAATACTTTTTAGAATGGGTTTTACCTATAAATGAGATTGCAGTATATGATGCTGAATATGCAAATAAGTTTCAAAAAACTTTCTCTCTTTTTACTAGAATGGATTAATTAATTTAATGATATATTAAATTTTAAAATACGATGATCAATTTACAAAAAAATAACTAAATCAATATATAAATAAAAATGTAATAAATTGTTACTAATATTTTAAATGCTACTTGAAATCAAGATAAATCAAGTAGCACTGAATAATGTTATTAATTTTGTTTTAAATTGTATCAATAATATATTCCACCAGCAAACATGGAAACTATGTATAATACGATTATCAGGCCAAATAAATTTATTATTGCGTACAATATATGGTACCTCATCCAAGCCACAAGTGCAATAAGTAAACAAACTGGTAATGCTATTATCATGCTCACTCCTAGAAAAATGAAAAATAATAATGCAGCTGTAAATTGACCAATCCAAGGTAATAATGAAAATAACCAAATCACTGGGTAAAATAAGAATAATATTCCCATAACCTTATTTATAATTAAATTAAATACCATTAAAATATATCCTAAAAATCTTGTTTTATAAGTCAAAGCCGCATTTTTACTTAGTTCCATTTAGAAAACTTTCTTTTTAGACCATTATTTTTCTCTTATCCAATCAATTTATTTTAAAGGTTCTTCAGTTGCTTTTGCTAATTCAGCTACTTTTTAACAACAATCACCACAACCTTCATCTTCATCCATTTCATCTGGGTGAAGACTCTTTTCTGATAACCATTTATCTTCTATTACATATGGAATAAATGTATTATTAATTTATTTTGAAACTACTGTTGCATTACCACATAAAACATATTCAAAACAAATTCTTAGATCACCAACAGTTTTTTAATATTCATGTTGTTACAAATAAAGATCACGTTAATTAACTGTTCTATTTTATAGAAAATAAACAATACATATGAGGAAATTCTTTTCCAAATAATTTTGATGCAGCCTATAATTATGCATCTTCTGGAACCAAAAATTAAAAGTTTTGACAACCTTACTTTAATGATTCAGATAAAGTGAATGCTCCTAATTTTACATCTGGATTAAGTTTATCTTAAGATTTTACTAACCATAATTATGGTTTATTTTAGTATTCAGAAGGAAATCCAGCACTACAAACCTATTCAGCTTTCCATCTTAACTCATATGTATATGTTGTAGCACTTTTTTTATGTTTATGTTCAATTCTTATAAATTGAAGCTATTCAACATGCCGTTTTAATTTAATACAAGAGGATAATGTTATTCCAAATTCAGGATCTTCAACAATTACATCTGTAGATGTTTGTCCTAAGCATAATTTTTAATTCTTTTACCTTATATATGAACTAGTTCTCCATTTAATTCATGATGGATTTCATTACAATTTCCAATTTTACATATATTTCTCATATTTACTAATCGATATTCTGTTATTGCTTCCCTTCTTTCATTGTACCATAATAAAGCTGCTGAGAAAATTATGAGAAAAAACCCCAAAATAAAAAGAAAGAAAAGTGATACTCCATTATCATCATCATCATCATCATATCCATCATCTGTTAAGAATTGTTATTTCTTATTTTAGATATCCTTGCAAACTATTGCCACCAATAACAAGTAGAAATATCTCATAAAAAATATTATATTAATGATTGAACAAACACATGATTTTTTTTAAACTCATTTGTTACAATTATTATTTCATTATCTTAAGAGATAACTCTAATTAATTTTATAATATGAATTTTTATCAAAAGTCCATCCCTAACCTAGATTATTTCTTTTCTATTTCTCTTAATTTGATTGCAGTANCAACAATCACCACAACCTTCATCTTCATCCATTTCATCTGGGTGAAGACTCTTTTCTGATAACCATTTATCTTCTATTACATATGGAATAAATGTATTATTAATTTATTTTGAAACTACTGTTGCATTACCACATAAAACATATTCAAAACAAATTCTTAGATCACCAACAGTTTTTTAATATTCATGTTGTTACAAATAAAGATCACGTTAATTAACTGTTCTATTTTATAGAAAATAAACAATACATATGAGGAAATTCTTTTCCAAATAATTTTGATGCAGCCTATAATTATGCATCTTCTGGAACCAAAAATTAAAAGTTTTGACAACCTTACTTTAATGATTCAGATAAAGTGAATGCTCCTAATTTTACATCTGGATTAAGTTTATCTTAAGATTTTACTAACCATAATTATGGTTTATTTTAGTATTCAGAAGGAAATCCAGCACTACAAACCTATTCAGCTTTCCATCTTAACTCATATGTATATGTTGTAGCACTTTTTTTATGTTTATGTTCAATTCTTATAAATTGAAGCTATTCAACATGCCGTTTTAATTTAATACAAGAGGATAATGTTATTCCAAATTCAGGATCTTCAACAATTACATCTGTAGATGTTTGTCCTAAGCATAATTTTTAATTCTTTTACCTTATATATGAACTAGTTCTCCATTTAATTCATGATGGATTTCATTACAATTTCCAATTTTACATATATTTCTCATATTTACTAATCGATATTCTGTTATTGCTTCCCTTCTTTCATTGTACCATAATAAAGCTGCTGAGAAAATTATGAGAAAAAACCCCAAAATAAAAAGAAAGAAAAGTGATACTCCATTATCATCATCATCATCATCATATCCATCATCTGTTAAGAATTGTTATTTCTTATTTTAGATATCCTTGCAAACTATTGCCACCAATAACAAGTAGAAATATCTCATAAAAAATATTATATTAATGATTGAACAAACACATGATTTTTTTTAAACTCATTTGTTACAATTATTATTTCATTATCTTAAGAGATAACTCTAATTAATTTTATAATATGAATTTTTATCAAAAGTCCATCCCTAACCTAGATTATTTCTTTTCTATTTCTCTTAATTTGATTGCAGTACTTTATATTAGATATTATATTATTATATAATATTATAAATTAAAAGCAGTAGTCGTAGTCGAAATAAAGAGAAGTATTATTGATTCACATTTTTTTATTAAATTTAGACACTAACATATACATTGATATAATTTGTAAAAAATTCAATTGGCTTTTATGGATCTTAGGGGTGATATAAAAATTCCATAAGGGTAAACATTCTACTTACTAAAAGGTAATTGGAAATTTATTAAACAAATCATATCTTTATCTTATCTTTTCATTCTTTTCCTGATCCCATTCATAGATAGATTAAAGAATTTATGGAGAAGGATGAAGTAATATAATCTTATTTTTAGCTGAGAAGCAATAGAAGCTTCAAATATAAGAAAGAAAGGATAGAGTGATGAACTGTATCAATAAATTAATAGGAGAATCTAATATAAAGGACACGAAGAGAATTTGACAGAAGATCAAACTTTCGAAGCTGTATAGAGCTAGGATAATCAGAAAATTAAACAAAATTTGAGGCTAAACTTACATTGATTCTGTGGAAAAATAAACTCAAAAAAATTAAATTTATTGTCTATTTGGATATTACGATATTACGATATTTTCTATAATTAACTTAATTCATGTAATAATGGTATTTATATATAAATAAAACTATTGATATTAATAATATATTGAACTAAATATATAAATTAATTTATAAACAATAAAAGTTATTCTTTTTTTAGAAAAAATGATTTTATAATATAGATCCGAATTTATTCATAGAAATTCTTTTTCTTTAAGTAAATTTCTGTTAAATCTTTCTTTAAAACAGGCGGAAACATTATTTGGCTAATTTCAAAAAGTTTGAAAAATATTTCTAAAAGTTTTTTTCAAATTTATGGTCAATTTAATTATTCTCAAACTCCATTAAAAGTAATTTAATGATGATCTAGAATTGTATAAAAAAAACCTTTTGCTAGTTAAAATTCCGATAAATAACAATCCAAAGAAATAATAATAAAATAAGTTTAGAAATTTCATATTAAGCTTATAAGGTAGCTTTTTATAAAGGAGTTAATACATAATTTAAACAGATTCAAGTTTAATCATTTTTTAATAAAAAATATAATCAATGAAGATGTTGATAAATCTTATTTTTTTGATTGTTTCATAATCATTTGAAATCTAACCATTAGATTCTGAATATCAATCTGCATATCAATAAGTAAAGATTGATGATGATAACTTTTTATCAAATAAACTTTTTACCTTTGGATTATGGTAGCGATATAATCCTCTCAGCACCATCTCATAAGTTGGATAAATTGGATTATTTGATAGTAATTGTTATCATTTACTTAACATAATTGATACAATAAGTGATGAAATAAATCTAATTTACTACGATTGTTTGGATTATGAAGCAAAAACAATAACAAAGTATGTAAAATTTGTAAATAATGATGATGAATAGAAAATATTCAAAATTGATATAGAAGCATTTAATTATGAAAACTTTTGGTATTTTTTAGAAATAATATAAAATCCATTTTAATAATAATTTGAAATTTTAATAATATCCTAAGAAACAATAAGAATTCATGAAATTCATTAAATGAAATACCCATTTAAGGGTCGTAATCTTAAATTTACTTATGGAAACAGCTTGATTGTAAGTAATTCAGGAATAGAATCTTTGTTAAAAGAACAAAAATTTTCTTATTTTCCTGGAAAAATTATAATATAACAGTTTAGTCTTTATGATTAACTAGATGATCTTGATTGGTATTAATATGTTAAAGGCATATTTATGTTTTATGAATACTGTTTTTGTATGCCAAATTTTAATTATATAATTCCAGATTAGAACATCAATCAATAATTAAAAGGTGAATATGTTTCAGATAATTTAAATTGTGATTCTTTTATTTTAGAAGGGTGGTTTAAAATTTAAGAAATCATTAGTGAATAAAAAGAGTTTGTTTTTCCATTTCTAAAATTAGGTACAAACTTTTAAAACCCCAATTTATCAAATGATAATTTGTCACCTGTTTAAGTTTTCTATAAACTGTCTGATATTTAAAATTAAATAATTGTAACAACTTATAGTTTTACTTTTCCATAAGTTACAATAGATTTTACCAATAATCCTTTTTTAATTGAAAAAACTTTTGATATTATAAATAATATAACATTGTGGTAAAAAATATCAGTAAAATTGATTTATGGTATAATTTTGGATATTTAAATTAAATTTTATGAGAATTTTATGATATATGAATATAGTCATCAAATAGAAGTTCGTTAATTTTAGCAAATTTAATTTTTATTATAATATGGAAATTTTTAGAAGCTTGAAACAAATTATTTAAATATGTACATAAGAAACTTATTATTTTTAAATTGTGATGTACCTTTTGAAGAGAAGCATTGCCATTATACTTGTTTAGAATGTGATGGACCAACAAGTAACGATTGTTTATCTTGTTCAGAAGAATCTAAGAGAATTTATTTACCAGAATATAAAATATGTAATTGCCCATACAACACAATAGAGGATTAAATATGTATTGGTTATATTGAATCAAATTTATTATTCATTGATGAACCTTTCTTAAACGATGAATGTAAATATGGTTATTTCGAATTAAATAATGAATGTATTCAGTGGTAAATTGAGTTATAATATATTTAGTCCTTCAATCATAAGACAAGATTTAATTACTTGTTTAGAGTGCATTTAAAATCCAAAATCTTTTTATGAATAGACACTCTGTTAATATGATTTATATTTAAGTAAATCATCTTAGACAGGTAAGTTATTTTTAAGTGAATTTGATTATTTGCTTTTTGATGGAACTGATTACAGTTTTTATTTGTGTTTTTAATGTCCTTTATAAATGATGCAAGATTTAAATCTCTTATATATTGATTATAATTTAAGAGAGTCTTCTTTTAGAAGGTTTTGTAAATATGATTACACCTAATGTTATTAACATATTTCTTTTGAATGCATAGGATCTCATTTACATATTACTGGTTAAAGATGTATGTAATGCAAAAAAGGATTTAAATTAATAAATGGACTTTGTATTAAAATCTATGAAGAAGAGAAATAAGTTTGTCATTCTCCGCATTATTTCACCTATAAAAATTAGTGTAATCTATGTCCGATTAAAAATTGCATATATTGTTTTGAATATCAAAACGAAGATTCTACATTTTAGAGTACCTTATTTAAAGATTTTAAAGAATTTGATATCAATTAAGAAGTGAAAATAGGATGTTCTATGTGTGAATAAAACTTTGTATTTGATTTTACAATTGGATAATGTTTAAAATAAAAACCAAAAATTTTAAATTGTTTAAGATCATTTATAAATTTAGATGGCACAGAACTTTGCACTTTATCTTCTTTATAAGATTTCAGTGTTGCTCGTGAAATAATAAATTGTCAGAATTATTACTCTAATTGTTTATAATGTGTTCTTACTCCTTAATCAAAAATATAATGTGTGCTATGTAGTGAAGGATATGCAATATCTTTAATATCAGGGAATTGTTATAAAAGTTATATGGATATATATTTTTAAAATGCAACTCTAGTGGTTTAAGCAGAGTTTGATAGATTAAATGGAGAAATTATATTCATCTAAAGTTTTATGATGTAATTTTTACCTGATTAATACTATTACCCATATTCTTAAAACTTAATGGAATTTTAAATTAAATGTAAAGATGGACATGGATTGACACTTTATTACTTTTGTTAATAATATTGTAGTTAGGATTGTTTAAAATGTCAAGTAGATTATGATCATTTCAATTGTGTTCAATGTTCTTCGAATTATTATAAAATACCTTTAAAGTCTGAAGCATGGGGATAGTGTATATCTTGTTCTGATTTATGCTAATATTGCGAAAGAAGAGATAGTAATGAGATTAAAGTAATATTTTGAAAATAATAATAGTCTTTATAATAGTATTTTAATTTAGAATAATCTAATATCAGATTTACTAGGAAATGTATTTTACCAGTAAATAGTCCCAATGTAGCAATTAATCCATTTCTTTTTAATGCAAAATACTGTTTTAATAAAAGCTGTTATAATAAATTTTCCTATTATTATTATTTTACATATTGTATAATTAATTACTATTTCCCAGAGTTTTATGAAGAGGATATAAATATTTAATATTGTAATCATGTTGGAGTAGATGATATGACCATAAATTATAGTTTTAAACTTCCAACTGATTCAGACTGTTCACTTTACAAATCACTTTAATTTCAAACCACTTTTAAGAACAAAATTTTTTCTCTAAAAAAAATTGGCATGACCCTCTCTTCAATATATGATACTTAGATAGTTCCTGAATCTTTCACAATCACTACTAATTTTGATAAAGTAGAAATTAGTAACATTAACTTACGATTACAAAACGGATTTATTATTTAAAATAACAATTAAAAAGTTGATATAACATTACGAAATTTAATTCTTAATGCAAATAACATATCTGATGAGTTAATTTTTCAAACTTATCAATATGGTTAAATTGAAATTGAAAATGTTTAAATTTCAGATTCTATCTTTACAAATTCATCCTTATTTGATTTTTCATTATCATCAATCCCAACATCAATTACAATTAATAAATTGCAATTTATAAATAGTGTTTTCAATAACTCAATATTATTCAATTTTAACAACAGTAATTCCATGATAAATATTTAAGAGATTATTATTAAAAATTGTTTAATTTAGAATTCATCCTTTTTTTCCTTTAATACAGAGTTAAAATAAGCAAATTTTATATATTTATTTGGAGTAGAAATTTTTGGATCTAATTTTTAATATTCCTAATTTCTAAAGTGCAACAATAAATTTGATTTACAAGCAAGTAATCTTTACTTTCATGATAATACGCTATTTTAATCTATAATAATGGCTTTTAATGATAACACATAATTAAAAAATGTAAAAACAAGTTAAAATATTCTAATTGGATCTGCAATTTTATCTACTATATTTAAAGTAAATAATGAAAGAGTTTTATTTATGATTGATGATTTCGAAGATTCTTAAACTACTTTTTAAGAATCAAATTTAATAATTATTTATTCTATTCTTTAAGTCAATGATTTCTTTGTTCACATAAAAAATATTAAAGTTTAAGAAAATATATTAATTGATACATCATATCAACGAAATTAACTTTTTAAATTTCGTAGTCGTTATTTATAAATAGAAAATTCTTAATTTTTAAATTTGAAAAATGCAATTTTCTTTTATCTTTTTGAAACATATGAAATTGTATTTGATTTTTTAAGATTTGAAAATTCCTAATAATAGCATAAAGTCCCATTATCACAACTTTGTTCTGATTCTGTACAATGGGAAAATTAAATAATACAATTAGCTGGTTTTCAGTAATTATCATTGTCTAATATTTAAATTATAAATCAATTTATCATTAATTATTCATTAATGGATATAGCATTTAGTAAATATTTTGTTTTTGAAATAATTGGACAAGTAAAATTAATAAATATATATTTTAATGGAAATATCTTATTAAAAAATAAATAAGCAACTTCATTTTCACTATTTAGTTTGAATTCTTAATACAATCTAAATATTGATTTAGTTAATTTTTAATTTATTTAAAACATCATCAATTAATAAATAGATGAACCATTAGAAACATAAACAAGTTTATTATAAGTCAATTCATTAGACAGTATTATCAAAATTAACCAAATATTTTGTTAGAATAATGCAATAACTAATTCCTCTACTCAATTCATTACCCTAAGTGCAAAATTAATTGAAATTTCTAATCTAAATATATTTAATCAAAACATTTTAACATAATCTTTATGGCAATAGTTTTATGATTTTGAATTAGATGATTCATTTAATTAAGAATAAATCAATTCAATTATTCAATCTACATTTGGACTATTAAATTAAGGAATTTTGATTACAGCTTCAACCTTTTCTTGTACAGATAGCTATTTTTAAGATATTTTTGGTTTAAAAAGTGCAATTTTTGAAATTAAGACACAAGGATAAGGAATAGTAAAAATAAGTAACCTTAAAATAAATTCTATATAAACTAATTTAAAAGAGTAAAGAAATTAAGGTTGTATAAGTATTGTTTCAACAAATGGTTTTTTGAACATATAGCTTAATCACATATTATTTACAAACATTTTCAACAAAATGGGTTCTTCTTTATTTACCATAACACCATCTGTTAAATCTAATTTCATTTATTTAAATAATGTTATAATAGATGATTGCATTTCCTTAATTAATACTATTATGCTAACTTAATTCTAACCAGAAGTAATGTAATAAAGCTTAGTAAAAATTAATAATATAACTATTTATTAAAGCGAATAATCATGGATAGATTTATTTTCTAAAATTGGAACAATTTCATAATCAGAGATAAATAATATAAGGAGTGAAAACAATGCAATGATATACTTAGAAAATTGTAAAGTTGAAATAAAAAATCTAAAAATGTATGGAATCGCTTTTTCTCCAATTATAAAAATTTTAAATGCTCCTTAAGTAAAGCTTTTAGATTGTAATCTAATATCTATTTAAAAATTTTATTCATTCAATTTAATACATATAAGTTAAACTTTAATCACTGAATCTATCATATCAGTTTAAGGATTAAAGATTATAGAGAGTTTTACTTATTAAAAGAAATCAGATGAAATAACTATTTTTTAAGACTTAAATTATATAATATTGGGATGTAATATCTAGAAAAGTTACTTAGTTTTATAGAAAGTTCTTTTTTCAGACATATTATAGAAAATTTAAGATTTTCCCTATGTATCAAATTAAATTATTTATACAAAAAGCATTTCAGACAAGAATTCTTTAATTTTTCACAATATATTAATTTTAAAAAATAATGGATCAGATTTTTCTAATGGAATTATCTCCTTTGAAATAGAGAAGTTTAAACTGTTTAAATTAGAAAATATTTAATGTTATTAAAATTCTATAAATGAAAATGGTTGTATACATTTTTTGATACCAAATTTTATTAATTAAACTATTAGAATTAAAGATTCTTATTTTATTTAAAACAAGGGTAGTTTTGGAGGTGCAATTGTTATTTCTAATGTTAAATTAATAGTAATAAATAGCAAAATAATATCGAATCAAGTAAGTAAATTTGGTGGAGGAATGTTTCTTTAATTAAAGGAGGATGACTTTTAGATTATATCAACTATAATTACTAATAATATAGCTTTAGATGGAGGTGGAATTTATTTTAACAAGGACGCTAATTTAAAACTTAATAATTTTATATAATCATTTTTACTATTTAATAAAGCCACTTAATTTGGAGATAATTTGGTTGAAACTCCTTATCGCTTAGTATTGTCTATAAATGATAAAGAAATGTAATCTAAATAGCTAATAATTGATTAATTAAAGAATGAAATTTTAGTGCTTTAACCTTATACAATTATTGAATAAGGTACTACTTTCATTTAAAATTATTTAATGCTCCCAAGTAATTAAGTTATTTTTAAATATCAAATTTATTCGCCTTAAAGTCTTTAATATTTCTCATTTATTACAAGTTTTGGTCTACTTCTTAAAAATAGTTTTAATGAGAAACTTTAAAATAATCTTAATTCCACTTGTATTTTGTCAAATCAAGTCTTAAATTTAGAAAATAAATCTATGGTTGGTGAGTAGAGTGAAAAAATAACTATGTAATATGATCTCTAAAAAGATTACTTTGATTTAGGTGAGCTCTCTCTTACTTTTGACCCTTATACCAAAGAAAATAAGATCTTATAAATGCAAATTAGTTGTTATTCCGGTGATAAATAAAAAAGATTGAATTATCTGATTGAAACAAAAAGCTTTAAATGTTAACTTGGAGAATTCTATGTAAATTCTGGATGTTAGATTTGCTAATCAAGTTAAGGTTTTTATTCTGTCGTATATGATGCAACAAAGTGTTCAATTTTTGATAAAACCAGATTTAAAAACATAACTGAAAATAATATAGAATTATTATAAGGTTTTTGGAGACCTTATTATTTATCAGATTATATTGAATAATGTTTTAAAAATTTATAATTTTGTAAAGGGGGATGGGAATATGGAAATTAATTATGTTCTGAAGGACATGTTGGAGCATTATGTGAAGAATGTGATATTTATAATGTAAGAGGAGATGGAAAATATTTTAAAAATCAATAGGATTCTGTTTGTATTTCTTGTTTTGGTGTTTAGGATAGTATTATACCTTTTGTAGCAGCATCAATATGGTAAAAATAATCTAATTATTAGGTCGTTATTATCAATCATTATTACCTTAAGAAGCATTGAATAGTCCAATTAATTATTCAAGAATTTAAAATTAAATTAAAAGTTCAGTAAAATATTATTTAAGCTTGAATAAGGTATTTATAATCATTTAATTTTAGGTCATGAAAGCTTTATTATTAAAATGCTATTAAATTATATGTGGATTTTCTCTGTTATATTTACATTTAATATATAATTCTCATTTACATTTACATTTGTAGATTCTGCTAGCAATACTTCGTATTCCATGGCTAACAATTTAGATTGTTATTTATCAGAGAATTAATCAATTTAATTGATTTACTCAAAAATTATCACTATGCTTGTTCTAATGTTGATCTAATTTACTCTAATTATTATTGGATTTCTCATGTACTATATGTTTAAGAAAATGCAATTGAAATATTATATATATGACACTATTTCTAATACTATTTTATATCTATATGTATCTAATTATGGAGGATTGATTAAGATGTAATAAAGTTTTAATTATTTAGGTATTTTTCAATTCTCTCAAAAAGGGATGTTTCAAATTAAAGCTACATTCAAGGAGATGTTTCTTTACTCTTTGGATCAAAAGAACATATTATTTGGATTTTTTCCTTTGTCATTCCAGGAATAGGAATATTTTGTTTAATAATTCCACTTTTCCTTTATCTATTAATGTTTTTTAAGAAAAATTAACTCGATGATATTAAAATTAGAAAATATTTTTGCTATCTATTTAATGAATATGAAAATGATTGCTATTTTTGGGAACAAATAAAAATAATTAAAAAAACCATTATGATTCTCATATTAACATATTTTGAAACATATATTCTTCTAAAAGCATCATTATTGGGATTGTGTTTACTTTTTTATTAATTATTAGCTGTCAAAAATAAACCATTTATTCTTTAAAATTTAAATCATTTGGATTTATTTTCAGGTTAAATTTGCTCAATCACAATATTCCTTGCTGCTGCTAAATTTGTAGCAGAACAAGAAAATAATTAATTTTCATCAGTAGTGCTTTAAACTTTTATTGTTATCCTTTGTCTTCGATTAACTTATCCTTTTATATTGAGTATATTAAGAGTTTATTACAAAAAATATTATTTCTTGATCATTAATTATTTACATTTAATTACAAACAAAATCTCTTAAGATTCAAAGTTAACATTTAAGTTATAGATGATTAAGTAAAGCTAGATAGAGAGAGAGAAAAAATAGAAACATTTTGTTTCGAAATTAAGATAGCATCTTTTGAAAGTTTCCTAAGCCTAAATTTCAAACAAAAAGTATTAAAATATTTTATTTAGAAAAATTCTAAATGGAAGCAAAAATTCATAAAATTCTGGCAATGAATTTAAATACTTTGTCAAACTAGATACTGAATGAGTGAGAAAATTTTAATATATAAAATTTCTAACAAAAAACTTATTATAATAAAAAATACAAATCTTTATAATATTATAAATTTACAAATATTATATATATAAATATTCTTTTTTATTTAACTTTGAAAGTTAATGGTGAAATTACTACAAATATAACTTAGACCCTAAAAATAAAGATATAATCATAAAGTATAGAAATGCTAAAATAATGAATGTGAAAGAAAAAATGATATTTTATGTTAATTAAATGATGGATGAATGGATATTTTATATTTTTCAGAAATAAATTTATTCATTAATATTATTATTAATATAATTCCCAATATTTTAAAGCATAAATTAGGATATATATGAACAAATTCAAAACAAATTATAAATCAGAGAATTTCGAAGTTAACCAAAGAAAATTTCGAATGAGTTGCAATGTTCTTTAACTACAATATTCTTTAAGCATAAATGAAATAATAGTGAAGAATATTATCATTTGAAAGAAAAAAGCAAATAAATTAAATATCCAATTTATTCTTAGTAGCATAACCTTCAGAAAATATTCAATTAACAAGATTAAATCAATTTAAGGAACTTTTAAATATTTTTGATAAATGATAGAGATGAATCTTAATTTGAGCTTGATTCCTCTTTTCCATCTTCTTTTTATAAGTCCTAAATACATAGGATTATTAGATAGTTCTATTTCTTAATTACTTAAACTGATTTTAGCATTTTTTATATTTTACACAAATTAGGCTTGTAAAGGCTAATTTGTTAGGTCTATCTCTTATTTCACTTTCCAAACTTTTCTAAATAATAATAAACTTTTTAACACTCGCATTCATGTATCACATATTAATCAATACAATCATTAGCAGAAACAATATAATTATTTTATTTCTTTTTTGTATTTTAGATTTATTAATTGAAATATCAAGCAACTATTTCCTCAGCAATTTAAATCTATTACGAAGTAAATTAATATTCTTATTAATTAAAATTTATAAATTAATTCTATTTCTTAAAGAATATATTAATTATATAATAGATTATTTTTTTTTATTAAATTCTTTCTATAGTTTTTATTTCAATCTTTTGTCAATCCAAAAATATAGATTAAAATAAGATTTTATTATTACCAACAATTTCAAATGAATATATAACAGAAAAACTTTAAACACAGCAACTTAAGATATAATATTATTAAAAGAAGAAAATAATTCAATAATTTATACAAAATTTAATTTTTTTCTAAAACAATTATTTTCTTTGTTTAATATAAAAGGAATTAGGAGATTATTTTTTTTAAATAATTGCCTTCTAAAAACTTATTTTCTCAAAAATTTAAATACATGTAAACAGATTTTAAAAGAAAACAAAATATATGCAAAAATTATAATATTTATATTGTACCTTTAAGTTTTTATCATATTTAAAACCACTTTGAATTCTCAGTGTAAATGAGAGCTATTCTACATTATGATTTAAATTCTATAAAAATAAAAGAGTTCTTGGATTGATTAATTTGTTATCTATTTTGATAAAAATTATTAATATATTGAACAAGAAAATAATAAAATTATTTAAGTTTTTTCAAAATAGAAGTTTAAATAAATTTGATTTAGTAAATTCTAATGTATAAAAGTATTCTTGAATATTAAGTAGAGAGTAAGTAAATTTGATTATCAAAATATATGTATTATATTTACGATTTTTTAATCAAATTTAATAATAAACTTTTTTCAAAAGTAATTATATTAAAATTTTTAATGGGAAATGGTATTTGTCACATTGGAGAAGTGAATGGATAAGAAATTAAACGTTGCTACGATAAAATCTAAGTTAATAATATTATAGATCTTCCTAATTCATATGCTTAAAGTCCTTCAAAACCAACAATAGAAACATAAAACCCTACAATCAATTAAAATTAAGATGATTGTTACGATATACTTTTAACAAGTTCTTTAGATATGGTTCATTTAGAATAAGATGCAACATCTTTAAAAAACTATAACTATAAAGACAAAAGCAAGTTAATCACTTTGCCAATATTGCCTGAATTTGCAAATGGTTAATTGTATATAGAAAATGTAACTGAGCTATAGCTTCCTAATAGCTCAACTTTTGAACCAAAGCCAATTCTAAAAATATGTGAGTAATCAAAAAGTAATCAAAGTAAAAAGAAAGTAAGATTTAATGATAATGATTGAAAGGTTGAATTAAATATGTTTATTATAATTGATTTACTTCGTGATGCATATCAAAAATTTCTTGAATTTACAATTTATTAAAAAATTATAATTATAATTTTAATTTTTTTCTTTGTTTTAGAAGAGAAAATGATATAATCATAGACGATTAAATTTATTGTTTAATTTTTTTCTTCAATTACTTAAATAATAATTAAAACAAAAATTTTATAACTTATATTTATATATTTATATCATTATAGATAATTGTAAAGCATTTGTAATTGAACAAAAGCATCATTAAATTGATCTTGCTTTTAATAGAGCTATTATTTCAAAATAGATGCTTTTTGTATAAATTGTTATTGCCATAGAGGTGATTTTTGTTGTGAAACTCTTTGTTGAATGGATACAAAAAGAGAGTCAAACAAATTAGGTTGCTTTTTTAAATGATTATATAAGATTTTTCCAATTTCTGAGACTCTTTGATTATATATATAAGCAGCTATTAACAAATCCTCCAAAATGAATTGAATAAGTACCTAAATATATTTAAAATAAATACATAATGTTTATTTAAGATATCTGGTTTTTCTTTAGCTATTTCAAATATTTTAATTGCCAAAGTAAAAGTCTATTTTTCTTAGATTCTAATAGCTTTATTAGCAAATTCAAGTATTAAATGTGAGTCATTCGGATTCATCCTGTTATTTGTTAATTCAGATTCAACCAGCCATTCACAAACTCTATATAATGGTTCCATTTTATGGATAAGAACATTAAGATCATTCAAATTTATAAGATGTAAGAGTTTGTAAATTAATTGGAGGATTTGTTCTTTGACTTTTACTTTACTTGTTAAACATTGTCTCATAAATTTAAAATTGACAAATAATTTAAGTAATTTTCTTATAGGTCTATAATAAACTTAGTATATTTTTTTTTCACTTTTTTCACCAAGTTATCTTTCCTAATTAAAATCATTATTATTTTTGGTTAACCAATCTATGTAATAATGTGATAAATTATAGATCCATTCATAAATTTAGTCAACAATTTCACTACGTAAAGATTTGACAGAATCCATACTTACCATTTTTCTGGTGAAAACTAAAAGTGTTATAGAGGTATCAGAAATTGGATTTAATGATAAAAATTATTTAAATTAATTAAATCTCTCTTATTCCCACATCATAGTCATAATTTATTTATAAGAGAATCTACCATTTGTATTTAACAAACTTTTGAAAATAAACATAATTGATTAAATGTCTTATATATTAGTCACTAAACTATTTAAACCCACTAAGAATTTATTAAGTAAATTATCACAGTCTTCAGAATTATAAAATGCTTCATTTTAAGCATTATAAATGCTACATTTAATACTATAATATAGTTCTTATAATTCTGTATCTTAAATAAATTAGAAGTGGTCAAAAATACTCAAACATTCAATTGGTATCATAATATTGTTAATTGTGCATGTATAATTGTTATAGATTAAATCTCTTTCAAATCTGAATTTCGAATTGCTTATTAATTTTAAACATTTTTTGAGTAGATTAGTATCTGAGATTGTTAATAAATGTGCAAAGTCGAAGAAGAGTTTTCTTTCAATTTGTATTTATTGCATAATAGGTTCAAATTTGATAAGTAGATCTGAATCAAATAAAGCTGACCATAGGTAATAGTAAAATTTAGTTTAAATTCCGTTGGACTATAAATGAGAATTGATTTTCCAAAGAATATCAATTAATTCAATGAAAAATGATTAATAATTAAATTAATTAAAGGTATCAAGATCATAAGGATAGAGAAATCTATCCATATATTAGTAATGACGTAATTTGACAATGACATCTAATTAATAACTTATAGAATAGACTAAACTTTTGAATCCTAATAATAAGAAATCAAATGCATGAATGACAAATTTAAGATTATTCAAATTTTGAGCGATGAATTATTAAAAGAATTAAAAGTATTATTTATCTATAAATTAAGTAATGACTTTAATGTTATATCTAATGTTTTAGTAATATTGATTTTCTAAGAGTAAGACTTCATTTTTAGCTAAAACCCAATTGCTAAAGAAATTGTAAATGATTTGAATAAAGAGTTAACTGAAATATTCCTTATTAGAATTGGGTACTTGTCTATAAAATCTACAAATTTCCCTAAGGAATCGAAATACTTGAACTTATCCTTCAATGGTAGTAGCTTTGGAGAATAATTGCATATTGAACATAAGCCAATCTTGATTAGTATTAGCATAGATAGTACGACATGAGAATTTGAAGAGTTTGATAATATCTATTTGTGTAATATCAAGTTTTTAAACTTCTTGAGTCATGAATAAAATAAGATCTAAAGCTCTTTATTCTTTATTGAAATGTTTTTTGAATATTTTACAGATTTTACCAAGAACATTCCATAATATATTACATTAAGGTAATAATTTAAGTAGTAATTAAATGAATTCAGGATCAAGTATACTAGTCCATAATCTTTTAATGTCAGAGCGTGTAGGATCAACCCATTATATATTAGAATTTTCAATCATTAATTGTTATATTTCTGGTTCTATAAAACAAGGATTAAATTTTGAGAGTTGACATTGCAATGAATTATTATTTTTAATATCTGCTCTTCTTAATTTGTGAAAATCTTTTTCTTTTGTATCTGTAATAAATTCTCCTTCCATAATTAGACTAAATAAACTAATTGCTTTATCTATAAGATCAACATAATTATTTTTTAATATAAGCATAATACTATTTAATAACAATTCTAGGTTATTTTTATAGAAATAATTTTTAACAGCTCTATGTTAAGAATCAAGAGTAATAACAGCAATTTTATGTAATTTGTGATTTGGTGTTAATCTTCTTATTACAGATTCAAGTATAGCAAATGCTGCTATTGGTTTAATATTTAATAGTTCTTGAATAAATAGATTAAAAGAATTAGTTGGAAGTTTATCTTAAAAATGAAACATTATTGTAGCTAAAATTGAGCCTAAAAAATGATAAACTGGTTTAGATGTAGAATTGACTTTTCTAATGATTTAGAAGACTCCTTGATAGATATTTTCAAAACAAGTGATTTCTTAATGATTTGTATCAATGTATGTAGCTATAAGAGATCCAATAATTTATAATGTTAACTCATTTTCTGTTTGATTAGCAAGATGGAATAGATTAATTAAGAGTTCTTAGTTCATTGATCTATATAACTAATCAACTTGAGTTTAGAATTAACAGATAAGGACATTTTCATCCAAAATATTCATAGTGAAATATAATAATAATAATATAATAGTTCACTTCAAAATGTAGCAAAAATTGTAAAAATTAAACTAATTCTTAGGACTGACTTATGTAAACATTTTTTAGATACAAATGAGAGACCTCAAAATTCAATTAAGAAATACAAACCAGAAGAACGATTTGAAGATTATCCAAAATCAAAAGAGTTAATAAGATTAAAATCAGAGTTGATTAAGAAACATAATCATCCTCCAAATTATATAAAAGCAGATTTAAGAACATTTGATTTATCATAATTAGGCAAAGTATTGTTATATATAATATTTAATATATAGTTTGATGTAATTTTAATGGATCCACCTTGGGCAGAATATGCTAAGAGATTAATGTAAGCAAATATGCAAGTTAAAGAACATTAATAATCATGGACATTGGAAGAATTAAAATAATTACATATTGATAAAATTGCTGATATACCAAGTTTTATTTTTTTGTGGTGTGGATCTGAACATTTAGATGATGGTAGAGAATTATTCAAAACTTGGGGGTTCAAAAGATGTGAAGATATTGTTTGGTTGAAAACTAATAAAGATCATTCTAAATAAAATTAGTATGTTGCAGGATAAGATTATGGTGATAATTTATTTAGAAGAGTTAAAGAACATTGTTTAGTTGGATTAAGAGGAGATGTAAAAAGAGCATCCGATTAACATTTTATTCATGCTAATATTGATACTGATGTTATTATTACTGAAGAAGAAGTCATGGGATCAACTAAAAAACCAGAAGAATTGTATGAAATTATAGAAAGGTTTTGTTTGGGTAGAAAACGTATTGAGTTATTTGGAGAAATACATAATATCAGAGATGGTTGGTTGACTATTGGATCATAATTAAGGGATACAAGATAAATGCCCTAACAATATAATTCATATTTCCAATAAGAATAATTTAGTGAAGAAAAACCATTCATGGGTCCTCGTTATTTATAAACAACTATTGAAATTGAAAATCTAAGACCGAAATCACCTCCAAAAGAATAATAATAATAATAACCATAAACATATTTTTATTGAGTATTTTATTTAAACATTCCTATTTTATTAATATATTATATATAATTTATCATATTATTATTACTAATCCCAATTCTGTTCATTATAAGATTTTGATTACTATAATTATTTCTCCATCCTAAACATATTGATTATCTTTAACTAACTTTTATTCTTTTTTAAATCCAATTTCATCTTTCAAAATTAGAGATTAACACATAATATCTATCATCCTATATTTTATATTTATTTAAGAACATAATTTACATTAAGTATTCCATTATTTTTAATTATATTTTTTTGACACAATACTTTTAAGCATATTCTTTGAAAAAGTAAAAAAAAAGCTTGAAACTCTTCTTATATATGATCATTCATCCTTTTATAAATTAAAAGTTTGATTGAATTTTCTGACAAATAATTATCAATATGAGGTTAAACAGATAACTTCAATATTTATTCAAAAGATGAATTAAAATACATCAATAATTTTACAAAATGATTTTAGAAAGGTCTCAATAAAAAATATTTTGAAATAGGATTAAAATTTCATTTGAAGAAACTAATTCTAAATTTCTAGAAACATATTCACTAGTAAATAATATATAATCCCATATATCATTAGATATATAAAATGACAATTAAATTTAATAAGAAATATATGATTAGATAATATTTAATAACAAAATCACATAATAATGATAATATATATATCTTATCTTTAATATCACATCATTATAATTGCAACTAACATCATTACCAATGATAAAAGTTTACCATATCCTGGTGATGCTTAACAAGACTGACATTTACCATCTCTCCATACTTTTCCATATGCACTATGACCAAAACAATTTTCTTCAGTATAATGATCATCTTCTCCATCAATACATTTGCCTTCATCAGTCCAATGACACAATGTTGCCATTTAACCATCAAATGATAAAAGGAATTTACAAGCATCCTTTGTTTAAATATCAGCACATTTTTTATCTCTGCATTTATCGCTGTCCCAAATACATGATATAAGGTTCTTATTACATTGACTTTAATTATTGCTACCTTGTTCACATTTCTCCATTGTCACACATTTTGCAGGAGTTCCATATTAAACACATCTTTTTTCTGAAGTATTTTTACACAATTCTGGAGTAAATGACTCGCATTCTGGGATTTCTATTTTTCCACATTTATCATCTTTTAACAAAATACAAGTATGATTTATATTATTACATTTCTAGTCCACAGTTTCTTAGTAATCAGAACATTATTTAAAATCTACACATTTACCATTCACCCATCCACAAGAAGTTAAACCTCTGCATGTATCACTACCTGTTATTATTGAGCATTCTACAGTAGGATAAGATTCACAAACTTTTTTTTCTTCATTCCAATCGCATTCAATTCCTCCTCCTATAGGATAGTCATTACAATCGTTTTCTTTTAAAACTTCATCGCAAGTACATCCATTGATTTTTACTTCTATTGAATAAGCCATTATCAACAAAGAAAGCAAGATTAATGATCTAGCCATAAATTATTTAATGATGTAATTTGCAAATATAAATATATATATTTAAGATATTGTATATGGAATTTAAATATTCACTAAAATAATATTATTTATTATATTCCAAACTACGTCATCTTATTTTTATCTATCTTTTGATAATCACAATTTGAACTATTCTCTTCTTAACTAAAATCAATAACTTCTCTTACTCCATATGATCAAAAGAACTTTAACTTTAATTCTTATTCGATGCTAAAATAAAAATCATATTTTTATCAGAATTGTTATTTTTTAAAGATAATAAGATGATCTATATTTGGCAATGATACTTAATTCTATCTTTATGAAGACTCAAGTCTAAAAGGTTTTTTTATTTAAATTAGTTTTTAGATTTCAAATAAATTTTAAATTTAATATTAATAACAACTTTCATTTAGATGTCTGAAGAATCCAATTCTATTTTATCAACTATTTAATATTACAAAAGTAAGATCAAATTTCCTACATTTTCAAAGTAATATAATGAAATGAATGAAACCTAAGAATAAAAGGAATTATTTTTTTGTAATTCAAAATAAAGAAAGGAGGAAAGTTATCGTTAATTGAAGGAATGGGCTTAGAATAGAAGGGAAGTTCTAGATAAAAATAAAGCATTAATTGAAGAATTAGTTAATATTTGTGATTATCGAATCAGACTTTCTGGTCAATATCTGTAAATTGTATACAAATTCTTTAATGAAAAATACTTCCATGAATAGTAATATGGATAATTCTTACTTACAAAACCTTAACCAACACTTAAATAAAATCCATTAAGTCATTAACTATATTCCAATATCGGTTAAGCCATCTCAACTTTTGAAGAAACTAATTTGAAAAATTGTGAAAAAGTATCTAACTTTGCTCATACAATATCAAACTAAATCTTAAAAACAGAAATACTATCAGATCTTTTTGATTTGGATAAGAAATCCGATTAAATATTAAGTTGTATAATTGCACAAAAAAAATTGCTTTAATAACAATATATATTATCTGCCTAAAAGCTTAAAGCAATAACAGATTAATTTCCATAGTAATTATAAAATCAGAGAGCTCGTAAACCTATTTTCGATAATCCAATTCAAAACGAATAATAAAATTAACATATAGAACAAAAATAAAATTAGACAATCGAAGATTAAAATATAGAACCATCTACAATAAAAGTAAATGATATTAGTGAAGTTTTGGCAGATGATCAATTATAAGTTAATAATCTTTCAGAATAATTAAAAGAAAACTAAATAGATGGAACTTAATCTTGTGTCTATTAGTAAGAAAATACAGACAATTCATCAAATAACAGTGTCTAAAAATAAATAGACCCATAATTATTAAAAGATAAACATTATTTTGAGATGAATAATGAAGGATAAAAAGTTTATCAATCTCAAACTGTCCCTTTCTCTCTACCAATAAATAGAAATTTCGAATAAAAATAAAAGCAGCATCAAGAAGTAGATTTATATAAACTCATTATGAGTTATACTGCATCTTAGTCTTACACAATTAAGCTCTTAAATTAATTGATTGAAAAAGTAATATAATATTGGAAACATGTAAAGTATAGAAAATAATAATAGGTTACAGTAATTGAATAAAAAAGAACAAAATGGGCATAGGAATCTTGTTAAATTTATAAAGAAGCAATCAAAGATGTCCATTACATGAATGTAGAATTGCCTTAATTCAAAATGGAAGTGGAAGATTACTATAGTTTTAGAAACATATTTTCTGATTCATGTTCCTCTTTTGAAAATGTTAAAGATTAAAATGAGTTTTGTCAATCTTTGATTATCAAAGAACTTGGATGTTAGGCTGCTAGATTATTATTAGTTAAAGAATTCAAAGTAAATGTAGTTGAAAAAAACAGTGAGTTACCATCCATTTTAGTACTAACAATAGATAAATTCGTTGGTTGTTGGCTTAAATATGATGATTCTACAGATGGTATTTTTTTAGAAAATATTCTATAAGCAATTGATTCTCCAGTTTTGCATTACCCAATTAGTTAAATTTCTATTTAAAATATTGGTAACTTACTATTAGAGATCATTCCATCTAAAAATCTCTTATTTTTAAATGTAATAATTAATCTCTATTTATTTTAGATTAGTAATGGCAGATAAAAAAGCACTATTAAATTTGCATGTATTGATGACATGGAAGAGTTTAGTACAATAATAAAAAATTGATATTTAGTTACATAAAATTTACAAGAATTAAAATATTAAAATAATGTTCCGATCATTACTCTATCAATTCAAATTGAGGTTTAGAATGATCAATCCATGTAAAGAAAACAATCCAAATTTTAGTTGACATTAAATAAGAATTTAAATTTTTGAAGAATATTCAACAATAATGTACATTGCATTCAAAAGAATAATTGAATTAATCAACTTATCTAATGAGATTTTGTATTTCTTAGGAATATAATAATTAGCAATTTCACAATAAAATTAATGTTTAGGTACACGTATAGGATAGTATATTTCATTAAATGATCCTAAATTTGATATCAATACTACGAGATATTATTGTCCAATTTCAAGGATTGATGATGTTGGAATGTTTGATATATTAGTGCATGCCATTTATGCAGAAAATAAAAACTTTTCCACTCACATTACTACTTTAAATGTAAGATTTGTAATAATTATAGGAAGGACATGTTCTTAACATTAACGGACCGTTTACTAATTATCTTTATCATGGATATGGTAATATTGAAGTTCCTAAATATAATATCAATTCAAATTATTAATATATAGGTATAATTGCAGAATCTTCAGCTATTGCAGCTTTCTTCTAAGTTAATTTCATTTATATTTATGATAGTTAATAGAAGGGATAGCTACAAATGGTGATAATACACATATTGGTCTACTCTACGTAGCAGATACTCTTGAAGAATTAGTTTTGATGGAAGAATTAATATGGTATATGGAAGAGAAAAAGATAAATGCTACATTTATGTTAAGGAGCGAAAAAAAACCTGTTAATAAACTATTTAGTGGTCCAAAGGGTTAAATGAAACCTGTACACTTATAGTAATATTTACCATAACCAAATGATCAAACATTAATCCTTGTATGTGGTAGCAGGTATTGATTAATAATATTTAAGGGCATTTAAAAAAGAAGCAAAATAATAATTAGAATTTATTAACCACCAAAATATAGCTATAATTTGATTACATATTATTAAATATTATATTATTAATATTTTATTAAATTATCAAGATATTTATCAAATTTAATCTTATTTATTGTATGTTTTAATATTTATATCAAATTTATTTACAATTTTCTTTATATATTATTTTATTGATAAAAGATTTATTCATACTTTAAGGAATGTCTCAGAATGCCATGAAAAATGAAAGAGTCAGATAATATTAAAAAATACACTTAATCGAAAAGGAGTAACTCTAGCACTTTGTTTTTAAAAAGTCTTATTCGATAAAATCTGTAAATACTACTATTTATCTAGGCCTCTATACTGTTAAACATTAAATATGCTACTGCAAAATCCATCATCTCAAAAATTCGAAAATCCAAGATAAAAAAATACTTATTCATCAACAAAAAATTGGGGCAGTGTTAGTACAAAAAAGTCGAATTATTTAAACCATTATTAGAAATCAAATCTTTAGTAGCAGGTTCTTTGATTAGTGAACATACTTATTATTTATATTGAATATCTTTATGTAATGTTGATACAATTTCTAGTTTTATTTTTGGAGGATTTTGCTGCAAGTATATGTCATAGTATAAATTTTGAATATAATATATATATATATATCAATATCATTTAAAATTAACTTCCATTATGGTATTATTTGTTTTCAACATCATATTTTCTGTCAGTGTCTATTCATCTTTTAAATAAAGCCACGTTCCATTTGTTGACGATTTTCCTTAAATTCCATCAATAATTTTCCATTGCCCATCAAAAAGAATCGTACATTGATATTTAGATAACAGAACATCATCATAATACCTAATCAAACAATCTATATTTCTTCCTATAGTCACAGGCAAATAATTTTTAGATCCTAAAATGTAAACATCATCTTTTGCCGTTCCACCATAGATTTGAATTCTAAGGTACCATTAATCTCTTTCTATAGATAAAAAACATTATCGATCGCAAGGGTATCCACTGATAATAAATTCCTTTACATCCTATAAATTATTAAAAGATGGCAATTTAATTAAATCTTACCCATAACATATTTATGTTGTAAAATACATTTATCCCAATGTTATTAGGGTATTATTTTACAATTTAATTTCATTAGTTTTAAAAAAGCATCCAAATCCTATTCCTAAATCTTTGATTTTAAAACTTTCTGATTTATGATCATATTTAATATAAAAATGCTACCCCCTATTTTTTTTATTCAATTTATTATCAACGGATGGGATTTTAAAATGATTAATTTAATATCCCCCTTTTTTGTTTTTGTATTTACAACCAAAATAAATAACATTTTATTAAGAATTTGGTTAGAACTCGAAAATTTGATTTTCTTCCAAAGTTGCAGATGCTATTACTCTTAGGACTAAGATGGGCACTTTTCCTTATTAATCCATATGTGAGAATGAGGATATTTTATTTGTTTATTAAAGATCTACCTAATGTGATTATGGATGCTTTTTTTCTGTTAATTAATCATTTGCATTAGTATTAAGAGCATCAAAGTGAGAGATGGTTTATTATTGATTTATGCAATTATTATAATTGTTAGTATTTAAATATTAAGGTGAATCAGTGCAATTGCAAGCATCTTTAGAAATTTATTCTCCCATAATCAATAAAATTTAATATTATAGTCTGGTTAGTAATTTGATATATAGTTTAGAATAGTAATAAGAGAAATAAAATATTGACATTAATTTTATTCTAAAAGAATGTTATAAATACCAATAAATAATAGAACACCAGGATAAAATTTTAGTTTTAATTAGTTTGCATCAGCACCTAATTCTCCTGAAAGAAATGCACCTAATACAATCAAAGATTATATAAAATATAGATAAAGAAATTTAATTGATTTTGTAAAGAGTAGATTACAGAGTCGGCAAAACAGTCCAAAAAACCTATTCAAAGTAGATTTGATTTAGTTTGCAAAAAAGAAATATGATAGTATGCCAAGTCCAATAATAGGGGATATTAAATTTTTATCAACTTAAAAATCAATAGGAGATTCAATTTAGATTGTAAATGGATAGGGTATGACAGATGATACATTATTTGATGAAATAATTGATTTAGAGAATGCAATTAACTAAAATGGATTGGACAAAAAATTGATAGGATCTTAGAAATAAATAAATCATTCAATAATGAAAAAAGAAATAACTGAGGATGGTTAAATTAAGATAAATTAATATACAATATTATAGGAACTAGGGAAAGGTTCATTTGGGAAAGTGAAATTAGCAAAGGATAATCATAGAAAATATGTATAATATTAATAGTTATCAATAATCTAGGCTGTGAAAATATGCGATAGAAAGAAATTAAAATTAAAGTTACTTTCAAGTAAAATGGATGCTTATTCATTATTGGATAAAGAGATAGCTATAATGAAGAAAGTAGGACATGAAAACATTGTATAATTATATGAAGTTATTGAAAATCCAAATAATGATAAATTATATTTGGTTCTGGAATATATGGATGGTCCTCAGCTTTTATAAATTAAGAATAAAAATATTGAAATTATTTGGAGATTATTTCGAGATTTTATGTTAGGATTAGAGTATTGTATAAAATTATAATAATAAAATAAGTGCATAATTTTGCTAATATAGCCCATATGGATATAAAACCTGAAAATCTTCTGTTGAATTAAGATATGAGATTGAAAATAGCTGATTTCGGAGTTTCTTAAATTATGGATGATGATTTAGTTAAATCCAAAATAGGAACATCAGCTTATCAACCTCCAGAAGTATTTACTGAAGATTAAGTAAGAGGAAAACCTATTGATGTTTGGGCTGCTGGATTAACTTTATATTAATTAGTTTACAATGAACATCCATTTATTTCATTAAAATAGGATCAGCTAAAGAATAACATTCTCACCTAAAATATTAAATGGAAAGAAACATCAGATCTAACTGATTTGTTAAAAAAAATGTTAGATAAGAATCCAAATAATAGAATTACAACTTAACAAGTGTTAGTACTTTTTATTAAATATCACAGGAACATCCTTGGATCACTAAAAATGGTAGATTTCCTTTGAAAAATGAATATTAGGGTAATTTTTGTGTTACTGAGAATGATATTCATAATGCCATTACAAGATTATCTTTTAATATGGCTATTCGAACTTTAAATAAATTGAAATAGAAATTAAGCTAATCTCGTTAACGATTAAAATAAAGAAAGGCTTAAGAATCATGATAATCTAACTTTCATTTTTATTAATTTAGATTATATTTCAATTTTTATAATTACAAAATTTTTCTTATTAATAATGAATTTTAACATCAAAGTCACATTTAACAATTCTCTATGCCATCTTACAATTGATAATAGCAATAACTTAATAATAATGAATTAAATTCAATTGATGACATTTCCTCTAAATCTAGATTCAAACATTGTATGGAGATCAGAAAAAAGTTTATTACGAGGTTTTGAAATAAATAAATTTTTCTTTACAGGAGATCATCATGATCTATTAAAACTGAAGATCATCTTAGGCCGACTGATTATTTATAAAAAGATTAATAACATGTATTATTTTCTTAGCACTCTTGGAAAAGGCAATTATTCATAAGTTTGTTTGCTTCAGTGTAAAATTACAAATAAATTATTTGCTGCAAAATGTATGAAGAAGGAAAACTTAGGTGTTATTAATGATATTAAAAGAGAAATATTCATTTGGTCTATGTTGCAACATAAAAACATCGCCAAATTTTATGAAATCTATGAAAGCACTAATTCCATTTATATTGTTATGGAAAAACTCAATAAATTAAGAAATGATTACGATCATGAAGAAATTAAGCTAATTATGAAAGTATAATCTGATTTAATTAAAATATTTAGGATATTTTAGAAGGCGTTGAATATATTCATTCTAGAAACATTATACATCGAGATCTAAAAATTGATAATATATTAATTGATGATGATAATTAAGTTAAAATTATAGATTTTGGATTAGCATGTTAATTTATCAATTTAGAATCTAGAAATATTACATGTGGAACTCCTGGTTACATAGCTCCAGAAGTTCTCACTAGTAAACCATTTGATTATAAATCTGATATATTCAGTATAGGAGTTGTCATGTATTAACTTTACTTTAATAAACATTTATTCCAGGCCGAATAAGTTGTTGATATCCTTAAACTCAATAAGAAATTCACTATTTCTCGATTATCCGTACTTAATATTCCAGATTGCGGATATTAATTTTTAAGAAGCTTATTAAATCATAATCCTCTATAAAGAATAACAGCTTCATAAGCTCTCGAACATTGGTATATGAATTCAATCAAAGAGGATCATTTTATTAAAATTCCTAGAAATCCTAATCCAAAATTCAAAGATCACATTTTATTATCCTCGGTAATATACTCAAAAACTACTATAACTTCATTTAACAAAATTTATTGATTAATTAACATTTAAATATCATATCCTTTTCAAATCTTTTCCTTATTTTATATTCAAATTTTCCTTATCTATTATCTCTCTATTTTTCATTTTTTATCTTCTAAATATTTTTAAATTAATTTATATTCTTCAATTTCAAATTGCATATAATACTGAATTTTATTCATTAATTTAAATGGATAATAACACATTAAACAAGAAGTTCATTAATATTTTTGGATATATTAATATTACTCAAATACTGGATTCTATCTTTTTTTTTTTTAATTTCATTTTTTTTGCCTTCTTATTAAAAAAACTATTAGTAAAAATTTTGACTATATTTTTAATTTTTATTTAAATGTGCTATGAATTCGATATTGGAATAATAGCTTTATAATTAATAATTTGATTTTCTTTCTCCCTAATAATTTTCATGTAAAATCATTATTCATACAGATTAGATTTATTTTAATAGGATGAAACTCAATTTAAATTCTTTATAAATTTAAGAAAAGCTCAATATTTTAACATTAAAAATTCAAGCAAGATTAAAGTGTTTTTAAAAAATAGTAGTTTAGCTGATTTTATAAAATAGTGTTTAGGAATTGATAATCTATCAGAAAAATAAAGATCTATATAGTAAGTCTTTAATAGGAGTGGAAAGTGATCCTCAATTTATTTGTGTTTTAATTATTTCTTCATTGATTTTTTTGTATATACAGAAAACAGTTTTATTGTATTATGGATCTTTAAATTGCAGAATAAATTTCATAAAATGATGAGAAAATCCAAAATTATTGAAGAAACATATGAGAAAAATTTTAATTTAAATGCTGAAAAGAGAAGGTTTCCTTCATTTAATGATGGAAAAATAATCTTTTTTAATTGTTTAAGGATAATTAATATTACTTTTTAAGGAATAGAAGAACTAATTTAGCCAATCTTAAATCTTTGTATTTAAAAGTGAATATTTATTGAATTCTTAAGATGATTATTAAATTTATTAATAAAATAACAGAATGCGTCAACATAAAATATCTTATGAACTCAAATGTTTATATTCGCAAATATTATCAGTAATAAAAATTATGGTTAGATCATTAATCTGGCTTTCTTTATTAATAATGGCTTATTCAATATAAGTTAAAGTAGAGGGATGTACTTGTGAAGAAATTTAAAAATAAGACTAATGTGATGACTATCAACCAGGAGAACTTGATTGTGAATGGAATATATAAAAAAAGGCTTGTGAATCTCATCCTTTTCTAAGAAAATGTTATTTAATAAATGATGGAGAGTTATGCAAAAACTAACGTGATTGTGCATGGGTTAATAATAAATGTGTAGATTTTACAAAATGTACTGATTACAAAGAAACTTTGGACTAAAAATGTTATGAAATAAATCGTTTTTGCGTTTTGCAAAAAGATGATAAATGTGGACCTTTTGAATGTGATTAATTATCTCTAGATTTTTGTGTGTACTCTTACTATTTTTTTGAAAAATGGTGTACTTTATCTAGTGATCGTACAAAATGTGTGCCAATGACTACTTGTGAGTAAAGTAGCTTTAATAAAGATGAATGCTAGATAAACTATGGATCCTGTTTTTGGGATAATAATAAATGCAGAAATATAAAATGCACCGATATTAAAATAGAGGAGGATTGTTAATTAAATGCTTTTTCATTTGATTGGTCAATTGCAACATTATGTCATTGGGATGGAGGCAAGTGTATTGAAGCAAAATAAGATGATTTAACTGAAGAAAATTGTTTTCGTGCTAGTGTATATGGAATGAGATGGTTAGATGGAAAATGCCAATCTTGTTAAGCCTCACCAAATCCTGATCCTCCCACACCTTCATATCATAGAATCTTATCTACGATCATATCATTAATAGTAATAGTAATGATATGATATTATTGAAAAGACGTATATTCAAAAAAAATCAATTTTTATATTTAATTTATGAATTTTTATTCTGTTTTTTACATTTATTATTCGATTTATGTTACCTAACATGAATATATTGATTTTCAATGATATTTATTGATTACAGATATAATTTATTAGAGTAGAAATACTTATAAAATATTAAATTAATCATTCATCATAACATAAAATATTTATTAGAATAGATTTAAAATCTGCATCCCAAGTCTTTAAAAATGGAGTACAAAAAATTAACATTCTTTAAATCATATTTAAACCATCATGTAATCCTAAGATGGCCTAATAATTATTGAAGATTTAATTTTCGCTGTTTTGTATTATTGGTTATAAATGATCTATCTTAAGCTATTAGTTTTCTTGATTAAATAATTGTTTAGAATTTTTGTATATAACAGCTTCTCCTACGATATTTGATAGAATAATATTAAAATCTTTAAGAGCGAAAGTTTTAAGGTATTTCTAACTAATCCATTCCGAAATATAGTGTTAAATTTCAGAATTAGTTTTACCTAAGTAACATTCAATAATTCTAAAAAATGATGAGATTGGAGAGCATAAAACTCCTAATTAATGATTAATATCAATTAAATTTTTAATATAGCCAATCTACTTTTAGTAATTTAATTTTGTAATATCTGTTACATTCAAATATCCTTACAAAAAGTTAGAGATAGTATAGAATAATGCAATATAATATTATTAGGATTAAGGTACCTTAGTGATTATTTCATTATAATTTTAAGATAGTTTAGTTTTTGTGTTCTTGTGATTATCTAATTTTTAATATTGATGTAATTTTAAATTATCTATTTTAATAAATCAAATATATACATAATCTTTAAATTGATATTGGATTATCATGTTATATTTATAATGCTTGATCGTATGATAAAATTGCAAGGTAAATGTTACTCATTCCTTCAAAAAGTAAACCAATATCAACATGTAACTCTGCAATATTAGGATTAATTGATATGGCTTCATTTAAACATTGATGTCCTTCATGCATTTTCCCTAGCATCATAAATGCCTATCCTATTAAAAGAATATCAATTTCTTTAACCTTTAGTTCCTAATGCATAAGCATTATTAGGTCTCAATTTCAAACATATATTCAAACTGTCAATTGATTACTCATATTTACATGTGTTTAAATAGTATTTACCTATCAAAATATTTTAAAACTCACCTCTCAAACAATAGGAATCAGGATCTTTTGGAAAACGAGCTAGTTGTTGATTGGCATAAACAAATGCTTTATCATATTCACCATTCTCCATATAACACATGGCTAAATAAAAATAAGTAACATGATACTGATCAATTTAAATATGTCTTATTGTTGTTAATCCAATTTGTATGCTTTTAAGAAACTATTTACAGCTTTTGTGTATTCCTTTTTTAACATAAATGCTCTTCCCATATCTTTAATAGTCATTGCTTATTGAGGGTTTTTGATGAGGGAATTTTCGAAACATTATAAAGCTTCATTTGGATACTTAAATATTAAATATATATCTCCAATATGATAAAGAACCTCAGAGTCATTTTAATCACATTTTGATAGTATCTGTATAGCTTCATCATACCTTTTCTCGTTTTTTAAACTTATTGCTAAGCTTTCTTAATAAATATCTTACCTTGGAGAATGCTCTCTTGGGTATTCATTTACAATATTTATATTTTAATTATAAGAAAATAGAATTAACAAAAAGGACTCTCATAATAAGTGGCTTATTATAAATTCACAAATATAATTTTAAATAATATAGAAAATGATAATTAGATCTGCAACTACTTATATGATGCTTCATGCAAGGACTCCTAAATATACATTTGTAAGAGAATAAATCAGAAAGTATATTACATGTAATCTATTTAATATGTCTTAAAGATGAACCAAAAGAATATTTTCAATATCCATTAAACTGGAAAACATTTGCAGATGAACTTAAAGAGAATACATAATCAAGCCAAACTTTAAAAAAAAAAATAAAGATTGGTTTTCATATATTTACAAAGTATTTCAGATATTTTTTATACTTTTTGTTTAAACTGCTTTATTTCTTATTAGATAATTACAAGAGATTTATCATCTTGGGAATAATTTTCTATTACATATGAAGAATTTAAGAATTTTATGTATAATATTTATCACTTATTTAATAAACGAACTCAAAAATTTCTTTGTTGGATAATCAACTTCTACACATCATAGACAATCATTTATTAATCTTAACTTTTCAATCAACTTATTAATGCAAATTAAATCTTATAAATCTTATATATCTTCAGATATCTTCAGATATCTCAAGCAGTTAGATGTCATTAATTTTAAACTTAGAAGCTATTTGATTCCATCAATAACTTCTAATTCTGATTTAATTGTTTTTTGTTTATTAAATCATCCAGAAGATGCATCTCTCTCCAAAACAACTAGTTTTCTGCATCAATTAAGATAAATCTTTCATTTAAAATGAAAACCGAGTATATTTTATCATCCTGAGTTTTTTCTATTTTTTACATAATTTTTTAAAAGCAAGAAAGATTAATTGATTCCATCTAACTCATAACAGATACCAATACAATATATTTCACTTTGGTTCTATTATAATTGTATAACTACTTTATCTTTAAATTAATTATTTCTTAAAAAGTTTTTGTGGTGAGTAATAATAAAATCGTATATGATACTAATTATTAGTCAAAGCTAATTTTTAAAGGATTTTCATTACATTTTTCAAGATTTTTAATTATTGAATTGAACTTTTGTAGAAATTAACATATTTTGAAACTGTATGAATAAACATTTGAAAATATCTCTAGCTCTTTTTTGATAGTTTTTAATTTTCTGAACCACATCTAAATCAAATCAATAATATCCGATTTTTTATATAGAGCTAATTTTTATAATTGGGTCAAGATTATTTACCCAATCTGAAATTATTTTAATTTTAGTTCAGAGAATTCTAAAATTTAACTTTATATTTCTATTTCTATTTCTACTTCTTTCTCTAAGATATATAAATAGACCTTAATGAAAAATGATGATAAAATATTGATATTAAATAAATCATATAATAATCAATGTTGCAAGTGCTATGAAATTGATTAAGTATGCTGAAAGACATTATTAACATCTAACACCATATTTATCTTCTTTAATCCATCTATACGTGTGATCAGATTGGACAAAACAAATAGCACTATCAAACCTATAATAAGTATCTTCATAAGGTTAGCATTTTTGATTCTTCCAAACACATAACATAATTTGAGGATCTTGTAGATTAACTATCACATTTTTGCATTATATTTCATTGGGATAATCTTAACATTAGAATGGGACACATGATGAGAAATATAAACTCCATTAACATGCAGGAGCCAAAGATTAACAAATAGGTTGATTATTAACTTTATCACAAGAAGAAATGACTTAACAAACTTAGCTAGAGGTGTTCCAATAGCATAAACCATCTGATCCTATTGAACCATAATGACACGAGTCACTTCCATATTTACTACATGAATCCAAACTCGATGCAGATTAACAAATCTAATTACTTTGAGATTGACATTATAATGATTATGCCATACAATCTAGAGCAGAGGAACCTTTCAATTCAGTACAATTTGTAAAAGGCACGCATGAATTAGATTGCCACATACATTCATTCTGTTAAGAACAATGTACTGAATCTAATATTTCTTTACATTCTGATTTTACACATTGATTATTCTAAATTAGTTTACATACAGGTTTAGATAAGGTACATTCTATTTCATTTAGATCTGTACAGGAACAAGCATTTTTAGGTTTAATTCTATTTAATGAGCATGAAATACATTATCCATTAGATTATTCAGGATTACTCCAATGATAAGTTCCACCAGTAGTTTAGTAACATTGTTAAAATGAATACTATTTAATAAGATATGAGGCAGAAGCACAACCAGTGCCATTCCAAACACATGTTACTATATTTGCTCTATCAATATTTTAATAGACAAATGAACAATTTGTTTAAGAATAGGATGCACAAGTCATTTACTCACATATACCTTAAGTAACATTCCATAAACATGCTTTATCAAGCAAATAGCATTCACCTTAAACTGTTATTTAAGAGCAACTTGTAAGTATTTAACAAGATTAATTTTCATATTTGCAATATCCTTCCTATCCAATTCCATTTGAACATAATTACAAAGACTCAATGCTTGAACAAGTTTATAAATGCTCTCTACTTTGACAAACTCCATCAATAGAAACAGGGCATAATGTTGTTTAAGCTAGACATTCTAATGAGTTCTTTCCTCTAAGTTTAGTGCAAAAATCTTATTGTATTGGATTTATAATAAATTCACAAGAACCTCCTTTTTAGTAATTTGAATCATAAAGCCAATAGCATTCTACTTTTTAAACGCATTAGAGTTGGTTTTAAGGACAACCACTTTCATTACAAAACCCTTAATTCCAATAACAATTAGCTAAATTACATTCATATTGAGTTAATATCTAAGCGCATAAACATTTATTTCTTGGAACAAGCAATTAACTAAATTGAATACTACAAGGAATGCAATAACCATCCTCATTATTGGTGCTCCATCTACCAGTTTAATCTGTATTAACGAAACATGTATTTTCTGAAAAAAGATTATCTGCAGCAACACAAGCACCATTTTTCCATGCACATGATTAAACATAATTCCAATTAGTTGGATAAATTATAAAAGTACATTATTCTTTTGTCGTATAATTTTGACATGATTTCAACTAACATACATTATTCGAATAATAACAAATTGATGAGAGGATACATTGTTAATAGTCATAATATGAACAATTGTCTCCAAAAAAACATTTGTTTGTATTATAATTCCAAGAACATTAAAAATATGGAGATTAGTGATCAAAGCATTCTTATGGATTATTAATATCTTAACAAGTTAGATTGTTATTTAAAGTTGCTGCCTAACACTTGTTAGTTTTAGAATTATAATATGGGCATCGTAGAGTCTAAGAGGCGCATTCATCTGAACTACCACCTGATAATGCAGTACATGATGTGAATGTTTAACAAGACCCATTATTCCACATGCATTATGAATTTTGAATACATAATGATTAAGTCAATCCAGTGCATGGTTATTGTTGACAGTGATTACTTTGAGTATTCCATTGGCATTCTAAACTTTACATACAGTTTATTTATGAAATTAATTAAGAACATGCACATCTATAGGGATTTGGGTATTAAGGAGCTTAACAAGTCAAACAGATTTTTAAAGTATTACTCCATCTTGCTGTTTATTTAGTATTTATTGAGCAAGTGGCTGAAGTTAATTAGTTTGCATAAGTTGTTGTTTAAGCGCAAACTACTTAAGCTGAATTCCAATAACATGGAATTGGAGTATAAGAATTGATTGATGAATAGTAGTATTAACATGTTTATGGATTAGTAAATATTGAACAACTTACAGGTTAACAAATATTATTACTCCAATAGCACTACTTTTAAAACTATTAGCAATCATTTTATTATGTTAATTATGAACATTTGCTCAATATTTAACAGGATCCATTTTGCCATATACAGAATCCATTATTACCTAATACATGTGTACATAAACTCTAATTTGAATAAGATGAACATGGACTCATTGTATTTGTACAATTTTTCCCATTACTTCCTGGACAATTAATACTTTAAACTATGCATTCAGATTGAGATGTTCCTATTAAACTACCACAAGATGTAAAATTTACGCATTACCCCCCAGACCAAAGACAATTTTTATTGGATGCACAGTTTGATTATATCACTATATTTGAACATACAAGTTGTTAACAATAATTGTTTTGCCACATGCAAGAACTACTTTATTCTGAGCAATCAAATTCATTATATAATTAAGAACATTAACATTGATTAGGAATTTCTAAATAAAGTTTTGTTTGATTTTTATGCTATGAACATGAAACACAACTTGAGCCTGTCCATTTAAAAGTATGTAAAGTATTTGAAATACATTAAGTAGCATTCAAATTATTTGAATCAGTTAAATTTTAACATTTTCCACTTTGCCAAATACAAGGCTAAACGTCATTTGTGTACAAATTTGGAATTGTATAAATACAGTTTTTAGAATCCTAAATGGATGCACAAGTTAATGATTAGCATCTGTTTTGATACCACATACAGGAATAACCAAATCTATAACATTGTTTTTATGAAGTTATTTATTCACAAGTTTAAACTTGATAACATTAATATCCTGACCAATAGCAATATCCTAGTTACATTAAGCATAAATCTTTTGTAGTTTAGCTCAAACATAAGGAAGAAGACAAACCAGTACATTATGAAGAAGTGAAATTAAAAAAAGGGCAATTGAATGAGCTGCCAAGACATTTTTATTAAGTTTGTGCCTAAGGACAATTTGAAAATTATTAACAAGTATTATTCTGCCATATGCATGAAAGATTTTCTATGCAGGATAGTTAATCTTTTATCTGATTACAACCCAATGTATTACATTCTGTATTATTCTACCAAGTACAGTAATCTGTTTATTGGCATTATTCACTTAGGTAATTTGAACATTAACATTCATTATTTGGTTGATATTAATTAATTGAGTCAAGTTAAGGTATTTTGTACATACATGGGATACATAATCCAGAACTATTTGAAACTTAGATCCAGTAATATGTTTAAAGTGTTTTTTATGAACAATCTTGAGAATTTAAACTCTTAGCATTTTAATATGACTAACATTATCCTTATACAAACTAGCATGGCGTAATGGTTTTAGGATTCAATCCTTCTATTACAAATTTACATTCTTATTCAAATGTATAATCACCACATTATTTTTGTACACATGAATTAGAATTGTTATTCCAAATACAAAGATTTTCCAATGATGAACATTGACTCTACGAAAAGTTTGTGCAAGATTATGCTGTCTAACATGTTGAATTATTCCAATAACATAATGTTCCTTGAAAACCCATTTATTATAAGGAGCATTAAGTCTAATTAAATTAAGAGCATTTTGGTAAATTATCTAATGATACACAGATTGTTGAATTTTATTAATTTGAGCATTGAATATTTTACTAATAACATGACAAATTTTGAGAAGAATTTATATTCGAACAAGAACTAAATTATTAACATTTACTTCCATCCCACCAACAGTCTAAAAAATTTAGCTAACAACTAGTCTAATTATTCAATTATCTGCATCCTAGGCTTTGACATGAATTTGAGGTAGCATTCCATCCACAAGATTACTAATTATTCAAAGTACCGCAAGTGTATTGATCAAATTATGAACATTCACACTAATTTGTAACTTGAATTGTCAATTAAGCTAAACATAATGCTCCGAAAGCAATAATCACAAATATTAATATATTTTGTTTCATAAATTATTGATTTCATATTTTAATCTCAATGCCTATATGAAGTAAATCTTATGACAATTTAATTCTATAATTATTATTAACTTAATGAAACCATTCATAAGTTTGATTTGTTCCCATGAAAATATTGTCGAAAGAGCTCTTCTGTTTAATATCTACTCAAATTTGTTTCATTAATGCCTAAATCTTAGATATTATTTTCAATTCTATATAACTTAATACTCTGCATAAATATATTCATTATATTAATTTAGTTATCAATATTTATATTTATATTCTATAAAATTTTTTGCCTCTTAATATAATTATTTAAATTCAGAATTTTATAAAGAAGAAAGATATATGCTTATTCGAATCACATGGTCTCTGATTTTGCTTCTAAATATTAAATTTAGATAATATTAGTGTGTCATTAATCTAATTATTATAATATATGATTCATCAAAATAAAACCAATATTTCTTTTGTTGAATAAATTTATGAATTAATATTAAAATTTTAAAAACAATTAATATACATTGTCATTAACCAATTCAAGCTTTAAGTTATTCTTTCTATAATGGGAATAAATAAAATATATACAAATCCTGGATATGTGTAAATGATTCCTAATTCTTTTAGTTTTTATCTCTTTTTTTCTTCATTTTCTAATAACTTTTAAACTTCTTTTACAATTTATTCATTGGATTTTTCCTAATTAGAATTATGATGATACTTTGTTTGAATCTTCAACAGCTTTTTCTGACCAATTAATAAAAAATAATTTTTAATTTCCATGCTTATATTTGAAAGGATCAGGATGTTCCTCGCTTAATACATTGACAATTAACTTCTTTCCATTCATTAAATAACCATTCATAGCTTATGCTGCAATTGGTGCCACTTCCTTATCAGCAAATTTAATGAAACCATAACCTTAGGCTCTATTAGTCTAAAAATATATAAATTTTATGGATTACTTTTTTGCTTCTAAATAATTTGACTCCTATCACATCACCAAATTATGTAAAGTATTCTTTTAATCCTTCTTCTACAAAACCATAAGGTAAATGACCAACATAAATTATTCCATTTTATCTTTCTTAAGTTTATTATTCCAATCTGTTGATTTTAGTTTTTATTTTTTAATCCTTATTTGAAGATTCTTGATTTTATTTTTCAACAATTTTTTATTTTTTGCTTATAACCTTCTAGGTTTTTTTTGTGCTCATAATTAAATTATGTTAAATTATTTTAATTTATAAGCAAATTTAATAAATTATCAATCAAAAACAACCTTTGGTATCTCAATCTCATCATCTTCCTTAACTATGACATTTTATTGTAATGTAACAATTTATTAATTTTTTTATTCTCCTTTTGTGTTATCTAAATTTGAATTATTTACGATGGAATAAAACATCTCATCTTCTGTTTATTTTTATTATTTTGAACTGCTATCTTCTTCTCCAATAAAACTTTTCGTTTATCTGATTTGAGCAGCTATTTAATAAAGATTACTATTAATTCTATTGCTAGCATTCATAAATACATCTATCTAATTCATCTTAATTCACTGATTAAAATATCTTTTAAGCATCATAGAATTAATCATTAATTGATTTCTAGTTATATTTCAATAATTTACTATTGTAGATACGTAATTATCAATCAATGAATATCCTTATCTCAAGTTATTAACAACCCATATATGATAATGCAATTAATTGATTTGCAAATCTTGTTTTTAATATTTTTACACTATTTTTATTAAAATAATCTTAGGGTAGAAATCCCAAATAAGTCTTTGGTTGGCTTTTGTTTTCTTTTATTATCATTATTTTATGGTTGATATTGAATATCTTTCTCGTTTCATATAATTGCTCATATTTTTCATAAATTTAGGGAATTCAAGTTCTAGTTGTTCAAGAATTCTTGAAATTATTTCTAACTCAATTCTGGTTGTTAAAAATTCTACTTTAATAATAATATTTACTTTATTAGGACATTGATTCACACATTAATGAGATTCATTTAATGATTTGACTGTTAACTGAAAATGATGATTAAGTAAGTTTAAATAAAATTTAAAGAATAGATACATTAATAATCAAACCTTATCCAAAGCTGGATTATATGAGTGTATTTATAGAAATTTTAAGATTAAAAAAAAATAAAAATTTTTATTTTATGAAAATATAAAATCACATTAAAGGAATGATTGAGTTATAGGATTTCTCCAATTTTTTAAATAGCACTTTCAATTTGAATATCAATTCGGATATCTGTAATTATGATTAAAGGAGAAGTGATAAGAAATTCAAAGTTTCTTTGAAATTAATATAAAAATTATCATTTGAAGTTAGAAAGTCTTTGATAATTTAGAAGATCATTGAATATTTTGTCTTTTGACATTTTCCTTCGATCTAATTAAGGTAGATAAAATATATTTAAGAGATTCATTTTAATTTCTTCAGTGGATGAGTGAGTTTGCCAATTATTTTATAAGACTATTTTTCTTTATCCAAATCAATTAAGGTAGCAAGAACATAATAAGCATTAAATATTTATTCAATTGTATTAGCAATTTAAGATTGATAGGAATTGATTCCTTATTTGCTTTGCAAATATGTAAATTAGAGAACAGCATATAACTGAGTTAATAGTTTAAGAATTGATGTTTATGATCTTCTTGAAATGCATAATTCTTGAATTTATTTTGAATGATTTCTAAATAGTATTGGATTTAATAGAACACATTTGACAAGAGCATTAAGTAAGTTTTGATTCCAATCAATTTGTGATAAATGATGTATGTAATTCTTGAATTGATCTTCATAGATATTGATCATTTAGGATTTTGACTTTTATTTATAAAGTTAGCATAAGTATACATAATAAAATATATTAAGATTGGATTTATCATTTGATTAGAAATTGATCACTGATTCAATTTCGATAAGTACATCATGATTGTATTTCTAAAAGTTAAAATAAATGGGTGATTACTTTAATAGCAAGTTCTTTAATAATGAGTTGTAATATTTGAGATTCTTACTATGCATCTAAGTACTTGTCTTTAANAACTCAATTCTGGTTGTTAAAAATTCTACTTTAATAATAATATTTACTTTATTAGGACATTGATTCACACATTAATGAGATTCATTTAATGATTTGACTGTTAACTGAAAATGATGATTAAGTAAGTTTAAATAAAATTTAAAGAATAGATACATTAATAATCAAACCTTATCCAAAGCTGGATTATATGAGTGTATTTATAGAAATTTTAAGATTAAAAAAAAATAAAAATTTTTATTTTATGAAAATATAAAATCACATTAAAGGAATGATTGAGTTATAGGATTTCTCCAATTTTTTAAATAGCACTTTCAATTTGAATATCAATTCGGATATCTGTAATTATGATTAAAGGAGAAGTGATAAGAAATTCAAAGTTTCTTTGAAATTAATATAAAAATTATCATTTGAAGTTAGAAAGTCTTTGATAATTTAGAAGATCATTGAATATTTTGTCTTTTGACATTTTCCTTCGATCTAATTAAGGTAGATAAAATATATTTAAGAGATTCATTTTAATTTCTTCAGTGGATGAGTGAGTTTGCCAATTATTTTATAAGACTATTTTTCTTTATCCAAATCAATTAAGGTAGCAAGAACATAATAAGCATTAAATATTTATTCAATTGTATTAGCAATTTAAGATTGATAGGAATTGATTCCTTATTTGCTTTGCAAATATGTAAATTAGAGAACAGCATATAACTGAGTTAATAGTTTAAGAATTGATGTTTATGATCTTCTTGAAATGCATAATTCTTGAATTTATTTTGAATGATTTCTAAATAGTATTGGATTTAATAGAACACATTTGACAAGAGCATTAAGTAAGTTTTGATTCCAATCAATTTGTGATAAATGATGTATGTAATTCTTGAATTGATCTTCATAGATATTGATCATTTAGGATTTTGACTTTTATTTATAAAGTTAGCATAAGTATACATAATAAAATATATTAAGATTGGATTTATCATTTGATTAGAAATTGATCACTGATTCAATTTCGATAAGTACATCATGATTGTATTTCTAAAAGTTAAAATAAATGGGTGATTACTTTAATAGCAAGTTCTTTAATAATGAGTTGTAATATTTGAGATTCTTACTATGCATCTAAGTACTTGTCTTTAATTGTAAATATTTTATCAGTCATTTATATAAAGATGGGCGAGAGAGTTTCAGGATATTGAGTATATTTATTGATATCTAATTGTAGTTGTTATTTTTGATTGAATTCTTTTTTATCTTAACTACATGATAATAAAATATTCATAATAATAATGATTTAAAATCATCCACTCGGTCCTAAATCAGCAATGGAAAAATACTATATGGAGTAACAATTACCACAGTATTAAACATTGGCACCTTAATAAGCATAGAAAAAGAATCATTCTTACTATCATGATAATGCAAATATTTGGAACAATCAACATTAATCAAGTTCAAATATGAAAGTTTTTGCAAAGATTTAAGAATAGAAACTAAAAGGAGAAAAACGCATAAGACAATTACAAAAGTAAGAATAGAGAGATAAATAATTATATGAAATGAGCAAGCATATATATTTTAATCAATAAAGACATGAAGATCATTTGAGGATGTAGACTCGTAAATTAGAACGTGCAGGTTTATAAAATCTTAGTCAATAATAATCAGATATTGAAGCAGAATAGTTGTTGCTTAAATAAAATCAATATAATACTACCTTATAAGGAAGAGCTGAATTCTTTTGGAATAAAGTAGGTTAACATTCTTAGAAACATATTAAAATGTTAGTGAATCCTAAGATACTGGCTATGGAAGAAGAGGCAGTGAAATTGATTGAAAAAAGAATAGAGAAAGAACAAATTGTTGAATAAATAAGATGGGATTTAAAATAAGAGAATATGAAACTTATTCGTAAACTTAATGCTAAAAGACAATAAGAGAATGATGAAATTCATTACAAAGCAGGATTATCACCAACTCATAAATAAGGAATCTGTAAAACTACTCACATTAAAAGACCATCTCATATATCTCGACCATCTTTAGATATTGTTGAATAAACTTTACAATAAATTGAAGATAAGGAAGATAAACAATAAAGAACAAGTCGTCCATTTACTGTTGATAGTGATAAACCATCATTTTCATTTCATGTAAGACCTCAAACTAGTAATTAGAATAGTCAAACAACAAAAAATGTGCACAGTCTAGCCAAGTAAATGTTTTAAGCATAACAAGATAATAGTCACTTAGTGTTAATAAGAAATAAAACCTAAGGATGGACAGATCTGAGTTTAAGGGATTGTATCTAGCATAAGCTTGTGATGTTAGTGACAATAATTTTAGTAGAACCATACGTTCCAATTGTACCATTCTAAAAGGAATCTCGAATTAAAAGACCAAAGCAATATAAATTACTCAAAATAATAAATCAAATAATTCACCTAATGAAGATGTTAACAAAATGTTAGATTCATTTGAAGCCAAACTATAGGATAAAAAACTTTATTATTGAAATATATATATATATATTTAATCATTTTATATCTTCTTCTTCAACTATTAATTTTTATGGTGGCACAAAACTAGATGTAATTGTCTAAAATCTACCATCACTAAAATTATTTGATTCCAACATTTTCTAAGATAAATGTGTAATTCCTATTCTGGTTTGAGTATGTTAATTCTATTTGTATAATTATATACTTGCATATATGATGGTAGAATTGATTATTTATGATCATGATCTCTATCTATCATTTTCCCAAAATTAGGAGCAGTTGGTACTCTAAATAATTGACTCTTTTAAGATCTAGAATATATATCAAATTCAAAATATTCTTCAAAAGTATAATCTGATTTTTTAGTCATTATATCATCTCTTCCTTTTTTTGAATCAAATTTAGGTCCAGCTGATCCTAATTTTCTAATGAATATTTAATAAATTAGTTTACCTTCTTCCAAACTCAAAATTTGGTTCGTAATCTGGAGCATAATGTTTTCTTTTATAAACAGTCATTTATTCTCTAGATAATGATTTATTCATTGAATATTATGGAGTTCTTGGAACCTTACTAAACTAGGTAGTTATATTAAGAAAATTGAATCTTTCCTCATGTGGTGTTGGTTATCCAAAAAACACTTCCTTTCTAAATACAATAAATATTCTAACCTTCCAGTTTATCTTGACATATCTATAAAACAATCTCTTTTCTAAACTGGTTTTTCAGGTATAGGTTCTCTATCTCTATTTCCAAAATTGATAGCACTTTAGACTCTTTTCGTGTTTTGTCGTGGAGTTGTTTTAAGTAGAGTTTTTTAATAATCAGGAACTAAATGATTAGCTCTATTAGGATTAATAAAATGAATTACTTCTCTAATTGATTGAATTTTGGATTATAATAACCGCAAGGAGGTTAACCATCACATCCGATTTTGGTATAATTACCAACTGCTCTTGATAATTGTTTAGTAAAAGGTTATTGTGTTTTTTATGCTTATTGATTATTATTAGTAGGTTATTCTTTTTCTTGAGTTTCAGGTATGGGTATTTCAAAGAGTTAACTTTTGATTCTTTTACCCATTTTACGATTGAGGATCTCATCTTTTCGAGCGAATATAATATATTTCTCACTAGTTATTTTACCTGCTTTAGAAAACATATTTTAGGGGTCATTGGGATTTATAATTAAGGCCATAAAGATAATAATTTAATATGTAGTAAATAGAGGATCAATATGTACCTAATGAGGAAGAATATGAGCAAAAAGATTAGGGAACGAATACTCGTTTTGGTAAGTTTGTGAAAGAGCAATGGGAAAAGATAGAGAAGAAGAATTTTAGTTAATTTGAAACAAGAGTATTATCAACACTTTAATAATTGGGTAATAATTGTGCAGATGATTTGATTGAAAAATAAATAGTAGAAGTAGTATAGAAAGATATCAGTAAATAAAAGGGTGGAAAATAACAAAAGAAAGTGGAATAATCTATATAATAAGCACCATAATAAGAGGTTTAGAAATCTAATGTAATTTATGAAATATGTGTTGGTTAAGATCTATATTTGAAATATCTTAGACCTAAATTAGTAGATTATGGTATACTGAATAAGATTGATGATGGAAATTAAAAATAAGAAGATAAGAAATAAGCATAAGGTAAGAAGGGTGGTAAGAATACAGTTAAGAAAGAGGATTTAATGCGTATTGAATTATCAAAAGATAAAGTTAATGATTAAACAATGAAGATGTTATAATAAATGGGACTGATCATTTTAAATTAAGATTTAAAACCAAAAGAAAATGAATTTCTTAAAACTGAATAAGCTAGTAAACGTATTAAATCATTAAAATGGATGGAACTTAAATTCTCTGCCTTAATGATCTATGCGAATCAATTAATTAAATGTCATATTCATTCCAAATTTAGAGATGAATATGCTTTTGAATTAATATATTTTCTAAAGAATGTTTATATCAATTATAAAGAATATGAAGGTTAATCTTATTTAGATGAAACAAAAAAAGAGAGATTAGCACCTTAAGCAGTTGAAGATCTTAGATATAAACTCAAAGAATTATACAAAAACTTTGGATTCTCTAATAGAGTATTGTTTAACAAATATCCAAAATTAGTTATTGATACAGATTTAAATTAAGCATTTATTAGGACTGATGTTCGTCCTTATAAATCATAAGAAAACCTACTAGAAATTCTTAAAACAATTGAAAAACCTTCTTTAATCTTCTTTAGTACAATGGTTGGAACAGGTAAAACTGTGTTAAGTGTTGCAATTGCTTAATATTTGGCACGTCTAAGAGAAAGTTATGCTACTTAAGAAAATAATTCTTATAATCAATTAAAAAATCTTGGTTATAGAAATCCTAGAGAAATTTAATTTTTATATTGTTGTCCATTAGATACAGTTAGAACTTAAGTTGGTGCAGCAGCATATGAGAGAAAATTGAAATTTGCAATTGCATCAATGTGGAAAGATCCTTATAATTCTAAAATAGATTCTGATTTAGGTTATGCAGAATGTCCAAGATTGGTAAATTCTTGGTAAAATAGACAAGAGGAATTCCCAACCTTAGTAGTTGCTGATTTTAAAACTACTCTTGAATTATTAAAAGAAAAACATACTTTGTCAGATAAAGAGAAGTATGTTGTTAGATGGTAAGGTAAGGATCGTAAATTGGTATCAAATAATCCAGCAAAACATGGAAAAGACTATATATTATTTATTGATGAACCTACTGTAGATGCTGATTTTGCAGATGCTGAAGTTACTAAAATATTAATTGAAATCATTAGAAGAGCACCTCCTATTACAATATTATCTAGTGCTACATTACCTCCTCCTGAAAAGATTCCAAATTTCATTAAACTTTATAGAAAGGCTTAAATCTCTGAAATAGAAATACCAGTCATACATGATTCTCAATTTCATATTGGTTGCTAAGTATTTTCTCATAGTGGTCATAAATTCTTACCACATTATTAAGCATAAAATAAATAATAATTAGCTGAAATCTTGGATAGATTGGAAAAGAATCCTTTTATGAAGCGTTGTTATAATGCAAATGCTTACTGTGAATTGTATGATAGAATGAAAGCCTTCGGAATTCCAAATATTGAAGACTTCGAAACTTTCGATATTATTACCTAAGAATTTGTATAAAGAAAAAGTATAGAATTATTAAGAATACTCTTAACAGCTGATGATGAAGTATTTAAAAAGGTGTGTTCTGAAAAATAATAGATTGGTTAATAATAAGAAATTATTTAATAATAAGTAGGAGAAGAAGGAGAATAATAATAATAAGAAGGAGAGGGTGAATAAGTAGAATACGAATATGAATATGAGTATGTATATGAGGAAGTTGAAGATACAGGAGAAATTAATTAAACTGAAGAGAGTACATAAATATAATAGAAACAAAAGACTAAATATACATACACGATTGAAATTGATGATGAAGATAAAATGAAATTTACTGCTCCATATTAAAAATTAGATATAAAATAATTGGGTGGCAATATGGCTCATAAATTTTTAGGAGGCTGTTTAATTGCTGTCAATAATCCAGTAAATTTTATTAGAGAAAAATTTCATAAATTACTAAAGAAATGTTCTCCAGCCTCTGAATATGTCAAATAATACTTAAAATAACATGAGTATTTGTAGAAAGAAATTTAAAAGAAAGAAAGAGATATTGATAATGAAGATGAGAGATCAAAATAAATTTAAGCATTACAAGAAAATATGAAATTGACAATTGCATTTCCTGATTTCTTGAAAATAAATACTTTAGAACATTATAAAGTAAGAAATCATCATATATATTAAGAAATTCGTTACAAATGATCCATTGTATTTAGAGCAATACAGAGCCAGAAAGGCATTCTCATTAGAAGGAATCAATTACTAACTTAATATTCCTGATGATATAATGTTATATCTATTTTCAGGTATTGCAGCTTACACAGAAAAGGTATGCTTCAAATTTAATTAATTTATAGTAATCTGAATTAGAGATAGATTATTATGAAGAAGTTTAGAAATTAGCATCGAATGGATAACTAGCTTTAATAATTTCAGATGATTCAATGTGTTATGGTGTCAATTATCCTTTGAATCATGTTATAGTTTTTGATGAGATGGCTGAAAAACGATCTATAGGTGCGTTGTTTTAATTGATAGGAAGAGCTGGTATTTATGTGATTTTTATATTTTTAAATAGGTCGTGTTGGTGTTTCATGGACGGCTAATGCATATTTAGGGGATAAAACATTTGATAGATTGATTAAATATTTGAATGGCTAAAATGAAGAGACTGAAAGAGATGAAGCTTACAATATTGAATAGTAAAGTAAAAGAATGATTTAACATCTAATTGAATTGGCAAAAAAGAAAAAGGAATAGTAATGAAAATATTAATACAATTAAAAAATGATTTCCAAAAATCAAATCGACCAAGTGTATGACTTTCTAAAAAGCATTAATGATGGCACTTTAGAGAGTTATCGTAAGACACTTCCTGAAACATGGATTCTAAACTAACTCATTGATGTTGCATCTTTAACTCCACAACAACGGATTGTCTGTTTATACTTTGCAGGTGATGAAACCCAATGTACAAATGCTTTAGAAAAAAGACTTGTTTTAAATAAGGAATAGGTTTCCCTATATAACTTAATTTAGAGTGCGGGTAATGTAATTTGAGATAACTTGTTGATGAATGGAGTACCTAAGTTTAACAAAGTTCACATCAACCTCAAATAATGAGAGCAATCATCCAGTGTTCATCATTAAGAAATGCTCTTGAACATATATTCACCACTTTTTCAATAGATTTTCTACGACCAGTACCAACTACAATTAATTCTTCGTTTAATTGGATTACCCTTCAAATTACTGATCCATTATGGGATTATACAATAGAAGTCAGTCAAGAGCCATTAGTGAGAATTAAGGAGAATCTATTGAAAGCTTAATAATCTAGATTGTCTTAGAGAGAAGCTTAAGAAACAATTGATCTTTTAAATCAAGATTAGAGGCATGTCTTAGATAGTGGAATCACACCTAATCAACTTCCTAATCTAATTGAATTCAATCCAGATTTATCGAGCTTTCTTTTAGCACGCATCAATCAATGTGGAATTAGCATTCATGAATATTTTGAATGTTTGATTTAAATGAAGATTTCACTTCAGAGTTTAGAGGTTGTCAATAAACTCTCTAATTCCATCAAATTACCAGAAGCCTTTCTTCATATGTATTTGACTAAGTGTATTCAATATTGTGAAGAATTATAAGTATTAATTATTCTAAACTATAGCCTAAGTAATAGATGGTATCCAGATATGTGAGATTAGTGGCTGTCTTCATTAAAACACTCATCAAATCAAAAACATTAGATCCAAAAAGAATGTTCACTGAAATACAAGGATTCTGCATCGAATTCTCTAAGATACCTGAAGCTTCATAGCTATTCAAATAACTTAAAGAGACAGGAGCAGAAGAAAAACAGCATCAGTGATATTGATTCAATTAAGAGATATTGTCAAATTATCTCATTCTAATCCTTTTTTTCTTTCTTTCCCCCATATTGTTTAAACTATTCTCTCTCTCCTTCTTTCTATTTGTACTTTCTTATTTTTTAAAAACCACTCCACATTATTCTAATATTATAATTAAAATTTTATTAGTGTATAAATTAATTAATATACTATTTCAAAATCAGGTTTCATTTACATCTATCATCTTATGATTTGATTCTTTCCCTTATTTCTTTTTGATAACTTCTTATCCTCTCCATTTTTTAATCTTATCTATATTCTTTCAACTTCTTTTCATCCTATAAATACTCTTCTCTATTTTTATTGAATCTTTATTCAGCAGATGCCCATAAGCCACTCTTTTCTAATGGAACAATATTAGCAAATGTATCTTTGAGATAAGGTGTAGCTCCATATCTTGTAGAAGGCTTATAATCCGATCTATTCTTTGAGGCAATAAAGGGTCTCTTAAATTCATCAATAGATTTCTGTAATTCAGGTAAAAATGAGCTAGCTGCTACTATAGTAGTTTTGCTTGGTTATGTATTTACATTAATTAATTATGTTCCATTTTCATCTAAAATGGTCATACCATTTCTTATTTTTTATGAAAATTCGGTAAAATTATTAAATCCTTTATTTTCTGGATCAAGATATTAAATTAGTAATCCTATTTCATCCTATGTCAAAATATGTTTCATTCTTTGCTACATATCAACTTACGAAACATAACCATCTTAATCAATATCAAATTCTTTGAAAATCTTTAATTATCTTTCTCTCTTATTAAATATTTTATCATCCACTTTTTTCAAAACAGCTTAAACTTATTTGTTGATATTAGGTAAATTCATAGACAATCCACATTCTTTATTGTAATACATTATTTTTGTATTATCTAATTGGTCATCATCTTGAATATCATTTAGCTTTAATCCTTATATGATAGCTTTCTCTTTTGGAGGAGGAGGTTATCTGATCTATTATTAAGCTCTTTCAAAAAATTCATCATCATTTTCTCTAGAAGTAAATAATACGTATACTCATAAATAATTCTAAGAATTTCAGCTTTAGATTATGTTTTATATTGATTGAATTAGACAACACTAAGTAATGACTCAATATCAAATTAATGATGAGTTTCATTAACACTATTTAAAAATTGGACGACAATTTGATTAAATTCCTTTTGATTAATTGTTTCTCCATTTAGCTTTTCTTACAAGTACTCTTAAAAATTCTCTTTTTCAGGTAGATACTTCTTCAATTTATTAATCATATTGTTAGCTCGATATCTCATTCTTTCTAAATGCCATCCATTCACTTTTGTTGGATCAAATGCATTAATTCTAATTATTTATATTATATATATAATACTTTTGTTTTTATTCTTATTTATGTTTAATCAAATGAACCTATTCTTTGATAGCATATGGATCATCCTGATCAATAGCTTTAATATATTTACATAAACTTCTTCTTTTAATTAAAACTATTTTAAATGGTTAATAAATTATTTATAATCAATAGATTGATTATTTTATTTAAAATTATTAGCCATTTCTTTAATGTCATCATTACTCAAGATTTTTTCATCAATTCTCAATTTTTGGATAACTTCTTCAAATTTCTTCTAACTTAAATAACCTTCTTATTTTTCATCGGCTTCCAATAACCACTAACCTAATTTAATTTACTAATAATAGTTAATATGAACAATAATACTCTATTTTTAAGCATAATATTAATTTAATTATGATGTTTTCTTTGATAAGCCTATTAAGCATCTTAAATTAAAATATTGATAGTATTATTTTAATTTGTATCTAATTATTTAAAATCTACATTTAATATATCTTTATCATTAAATATAAGATCCATAAATTCATCCATTCCTAAATCATTTGAACCATCCTTATCTGCACTAGCTAATAATACTTTTGCTTCATCTTAATTAATATTGATTCCCATTTTATTTACCATATTGTATAAGTTCTTAACACTTATAGCTCCATTTGCATCTTCATCCCATGAATTAAATATTTTTTAAAAGTTCTTCCTATTAGCATATCTTCTTCTAATAGATCTTTTAATATCTCTCACCTTTTCAAGATCTACCTTCCCATCCAATGTAATTTTATTTTCTAATCCTACTAATTAAGTTTCTTGTATTCCTTTTGCATTCTCTTCAATCTTTTAATTTGCCAATTTAACTTTATCTCCTAAATATTATTCTTCATCTCTATCAGCTAATCTTGATATCTCCTTCCTGTTATATAATGTATTTGAATCTCCACAGAATGCTCTTTTTCTTAATTATTTCTCTTCTAAATGTGCTTACCTAGGATAACCAATATCATGATGTTCATATTTCTTTGTTGTAAAGTTCTTTGTCTCAACAATTGGATCTACAAAACTAGACATCATTTTTCTTCTACTTTCTAGTAATTGAGGAAAGTTCTTCCTATTTGAGCTATTTAATGATTGTATCCTTGGTCTCTCTATATCAGATAAATCTCCACTCTCTACAAACTTTTATATTTGTCTATAATATTTCATTTATTTCTTACTTCAGATCTTTATTGGTTTTTCCATGATAATGTATTCTTTCCTTTCTAAGTTACATTTATATAAATTTTATTAATAAGTTATTTATATATTTATAAATATACAATAATTATTATTTAATGAACTTCTTATTCAAGTAATATTTAATTCAAAATCATTTTGTTCCCATAAGTGAATTAAATTCAATATTAAATTAATACACCCATCATCTTTATTTTTTATTGTGGTTGCTTATTTATTTAGAATCTCTATAAAGTCATATCGATCCACTTTTTATAGAATAACTAATTTAAATTAGTCTGGCAATTTATTAAAAATTGTAAACAATTCTGCTATTTATTTAGTTAAGTAACTACATTAGAGTAACCTATATTTAATAATACAACTTTTACATTTCGCTAATTTATTTTAAACAATCCAAATTAATTAAGATCTCGTTCAAATGATGATCTGATAAGTGTTAATAATTTATAAGATTTTAAAATAGATACAAGTATTCCACATAGATTTCTTATTTAACAATTGAGTATTGATTAAAATAATTATGAAGGAATGGTAAGAAAATTGTTATTGTTTTCTGAACAATAAAAGCTTAAGGATAAAAAAGAATATTATTAAGACATTTATATATCTTTTCAATTAGAAATTCATCTCCCAGATTTTGCATATGATTGATCATTTATTCAATTAATCCAATATCAATCAAATATTAAAGGATGTAATGATCATCATCTTTTTCTGCAAGAAAATTAGTAAATATTGAAAAGACCTTACAGGGGAATAGATTTAATTTTAAAATCTTCTCCCAAGTAAATTTAGTTAATGTTAATGTTAGAGCAGATGTAATTTTGAATTCAGACATTTTTTATAAGATATCAAATACTCTACTATAGAGACTTTCATCATCTATTTAAACTTTATCAATTAAAAATGTACATTGTGAAATGATACAATTAAACTATATAATTATGATTAAAGAATACATTGTAATGAGGAATATCAATGAGATCAATTTCATTTGATTCTAATAATATACATTCTAAAAGTAGGATGGCCTTCCATGTCTTTGTTATCGGATTTCTTGGATATAATTTAGACCAAATTCTAAATAATTATGATTTCAGTATTTCCTCTCTAAAAATCAAAACCATTCTATTATCCAATTCAAATTAGATATTAATCAAAATATGGCAAATCTGAAAAATTCATAGTAAAGATTGATTACACTTTCAATAATCTCACACCATTTATCAAAATGAATCTGAATTTTATTAGACTATACTATTCTGCCTATCAAACCTTTCAAAAGTATATTCATTAAATCATTGTTCAATAAATTTTCAATAATATCTTTACGATCCAAATATGTAAAATTAATGAAGATTACTAATACTTGCTAAATACACATTAACCTTTCTAAAGTTAAATTGAATTCATATGGAATGTTATTCATCTATATGATATCCAAAAATATTTTTAAACTATTAAGATTAGTAGTAAAATGAGTAATAAATTGATCCAAAATAACGATATCGTATTAATCACCTTATTACAACAATTTAAAATAATTATGATTGTATTATTATAACAACTTAGTCAGATGTTTAAAATCTTACTCCAAATAAGTCTAATATATAAAATTAATAGTTTCATCAGGATTATATTTTTATGAGAAATCTTCTTCTTGGTTAATACTTGTATGTCTTTTTTTAGAAAAGATTTCTTCTCGTGCTTGTTTTCTTATTTGGACCATAAAGTTTTCTCTCTTGATTTATAAATGAGAATTCATCTAATATAAATTTATAATAAATATGGGGTTTTTATATATATATTTTTAATTAAAAATGTACATAAAACTAAATGATGTGAAAAGAAAAATGTATATCTAAATCGTTAAAATTATATAGAGGGGGATTGCAATATTCAATATTGTCACCTTAAGACACTATCAACCTTGCTGAAGTGAAAATATATCAAGATAAAAATTATGATAGGACAACAGGAAAAAATATTGAACATGGACCTCTAGATTTAAGAATGGGATAAAGTTTACGAGATACTTAATGTAGAAGTTGCAATCTGATGAGTGAATGTCCAGGTCATTTTGGATATATTTCATTATAATTACCAATCTATCATTTGGGATTCTTTAATCATATTGTAAAATGTTTAAAATGTTTATGTTACGTATAATTTATAATTATATAGAAATGTGGATAAATAAGATTGAAATCCGATGAGATTAATCAATTAACTTAAAAAATGTTTCACTGTCTAGAAACGCGATCATACAATGCATAACTTAAGGTATTCAAAAAAGTATTGAAAAAATGTCGTTTAAATAAATAATGTCCAAATTGTTATTGTGAATAGATTGGAGAAGCTAAGAAATTAGCAAAAGGAGATGCAGGTAAGATAATTTTAGATAAAATGGATATAAATGCATTATATGCTTGGAATTAGTTTAGTAATATTCCAAAATAACATTAAATATTGTTTTGTATAAATCCTTTTTTGAATGATTTATCTGATTTACTTACATCTGTAATTCCCGCTCCTCCAAATAATATAAGACCAAGCAAAATGTTAAGCAATACTACAAAAGCAGATGAAGATGATTTAACAATGAAATTAAAAACTATTCTCTATCATAACGATTTGTTATAGAAATAAATCAAAGATGGTAAAGATGGAATATCAATTCTTAAAACCTAATTCTTAACGCAAGCACATTACTTTCATTATTTCAATAGTGAGACACCTAGATTACCTTAGTTTTCAAGTAAAGATGGTAAAGTTGATATACGTGGTATTTATTAGAGACTTAAAGGTAAGAGAGGTAGACTCAGAGGTAATCTATCTGGTAAGAGAGCAGAGTTTACAGCTAGATCAGTTATATCACCTGATCCTAATCTAGCTATTGATTAAGTTACTATTCCATAACATATAGCTCTGATTCTAACTGTCCCAGAAACTGTAACAGATTTAAATATCAGAAAAATGAGATTGTATGTTAAAAATGGACCATCAATCTATCCAGGTGCTAAATTTGTTACTCTTGCAGGAGTTAAATAAAATTTAATGTATGCTAGGAGAGCCTTTTTAGCATCTAAATTAAAGATTGGAGATATTGTAGATAGACATCTATTATCAGAAGATATTGTTATTTTTAATCGTTAACCATCTCTTCATAGAATTTCTATGATGGCATTTAGAGCCAGAGTTGATAAATGGCATACTCTTAGATTTAATGAATGTGTTTGTACACCATTTAATGCTGATTTTGATGGAGATGAAATGAATATTCATCTACCCTAAACTTATGAAGCTAGATCTGAAGCATTAATCTTAATGGATGTGAAAAAAAATCTTAAAACTATCAAAAGTGGAGAATCTCTTGTTTGCTTATTATAAGATTTTCTTACTACAGCTTGGTTAATTACTAATAAAGATGTGTTCTATTCAAGAGAATAATTTATGTAATTTTGTGCAGCCTTCTCAGATTCTAATGAATAAATTGATATACCAGCTCCTACTATTCTTAAACCAAAATAGTTATGGACAGGTAAATAAGTTATTAATTCATTACTTGTACCAAATAGAAAAACTAGATTAATATTAAATTTAGAAGCAAAAGAAAGTAATGCATTTAAAGGGAAGTTGGATTATTTATGGATGGATCCTGGTGATGGATATGTAGTTTTTGATAAATCGGAATTAGTTTGTGGCAATATAGGTAAGAAAGTATTGGGAGCATCAAAACTAGGATTGTTTTATGCTTTAATACGAGACAATTCAACATAGATAGCAGCATCTGTAATGTAAAGATTTGCAAAATTGTCTTCAAGATGGATATCTCATTATGGAATGACAATAGGGATAGGAGACGTGATGGCACCTAAATCATTGATAGACTAAATACATTAAAGTACAGAATAGAGTTACTTATAATGTAAACATTACTAAAGAAGTGTGATTGATGCTGATCCTGGATTGACAGTAGAATAGACATTGGAAGCAAAAGTAAATAAGACATTGTCAGATGTAAGAGAGTAAGTAGGTTCAAAATGTTAAGAATAATTGAAAAGTGATAATAAGGTATTAATAATGTATCTGTGTGGTGCAAAAGGTAGTAATGTAAATGTAGCATAAATGATTGGTTGTGTAGGATAATAAGTAATATCAGGAAAAAGAGTACCTGAAGGATTTACTGGACGTACTTTACCACATTTCAAAGATTGCGGAGATCGTTATCCAAATTTAGATATTTTACATCCAAAAGCAAAAGGATTTGTGAAAAATAGTTTCTACACAGGAATGGATGCAATCGAATTTTATTTTCATAATATGGCAGGTAGAGAAGGATTGACAGATACTGCAGTAAAAACAGCTACAACTGGATATATGTAACGTAGATTAGTAAAGATGCTTGAAGATTTACATATTGCTTATGATTTAACAGTACGTTCATGTGATACTAAAGAGATAGTATAGTTTCATTATGGAGAAGATGGATTAGATCCTTTAGCAGTTGAAGATGCTAATGAAGTCATTAAATTATAAAATATATTGACTAATTCTTTTACTGTTTTGAGAAAGAATTAATTATTATTAAGTAAAGATGAAATGTTGATTGAATTAAATAAATTGTTTATGATTATTGAAGAGAAACATAAAAAGTTCTTAGAAAATTATGAAGCTACTTATAATAAAGAAAAGAATAGAGTATTAGCAATGTTTAAGAGCACTACCTAATTAGTTTCTGAAAAGCAATTATAATGGTTTATAAGAAGTTGGATGGAAAGATTCTTAAGTATGGTTATGGCACCAGGTACTAGTGTTGGACCTATTACATCATAATCTATTGGTGAACCAGCTACTTAAATGACTTTAAAGACTTTTCATTCTGCTGGTGTTGCAGGAATGTCTATTACTTAGGGAGTACCTCGTTTAAATGAAATTATTAATGCTAGTAAAGAAATTAAAACACCTTAAATTAATGTTAAATTAATAACTAGAAAAATTATGGATGATGCTAAAAAATATATGAAAACTAATGACCCTTAATATAAACAAGCCCACTTAACTGTTTTACAATCTCCTTAATAGGCTTAAGATGTTAATATTCAAATTGAATAAACTAAGCTAATGTAAATATTAAAAAGAATGGATGAAATTTATACAACGGATAATTGTTATATTGAATTAGAATTAGATTTAGAATGTTTAACTAAATTGAAACTCGAATTTGTCACCACTAAATATGTGTGTAATCTTATTTATAAAGAATTAAAATTAAGAACTGATGATGTTAAATATGATAAAAAATTGATTCGTATTACAGTTACCAAGAATTCTAAAGTAACCAAAAATTCTAAAAAGAAACAATCAGAAAATTTATTATTTTTAATAAAAGATCTATAACGTAAATTATTGAAATTGCATATTTATGGTTGCCCTAATATTAAATAAACAGTTATCTAAGTTACTGATAAGGATGATAAAGATAATGTTAAAGGAGAAGCAAGATTGTTTGCTTCAGGTATTGGATTCAAGGAGATACTAAGATTAGATAATATTGATTGGAAAAGGACTGTTAGTAATCATATTATGGAAATTCAAAGTGCTCTCGGAATCGAAGCTGCCAGATAAAGTATTGTTAATGAAGTCTATACTACTATGTAAAGTCACAGCATTTCCATTGATATTAGACATATCTTATTATTGGCTGAATTGATGACATTTAAAGGTATTATTTATATTTTATTCAAGGACGTATACTTGGATTTACAAGATAAGGAATTGATTAACTTAAAAATTCAGCATTAATGCTTGCATCCTTTGAAAAAACTATGGATGTATTTTTTAATGCTGCCATACAAGGAAAATAAGATTCAATGAATGGAGCATCATAAAGAGTAATTATTGGATAAAATGTACCATAAGGAACAGGCATGTTTGATTTAATGTTTCCTGTTCAAAACAGCGTTATTTTAGATAGTCCGATTAAATAAAATTAGTTTTTATTTGCTTCTAAATGATCAATTATAATATCATATTTATGAATATCATATTATTCACATTATTGTTTTTTGTGAAAGCAGATCACATTCCTGAATTCAAAGCTGTCTTAAATTTCAACAAATTAATTGTTTCAAGTAGTATATCATAAATTTTATCATTTCTCTTATATAAGATGCTCATCTTCTAATTGACATAAATTCGAAATAAACTTTACCCCTTATTGGTTATGTGGAACTAGACCGCAAAAAAGTTTATTTAAAAGAACTTACTCTTAATTTGTATTATTTATTATTTAATATAATAATTGTTATAAATATTCTTGATTTTACGAATATGATATATTATTTATAATTTATAAATTTAATATCATTATTATTTAACTACATATTTATTATTTGATAAAATCATTGTTCATATATTATTAAACTATAATTTATTATTTATCATTTAAGATTCTGGAATCCTTATCATTAAGATAGGAGTAATATAATTGAAACTAACAGGATATTTATCTTCTAAGAACAAATTATTTAAATTAAATTTAAAATACTCAGATGAAACATTATTTAATTAGGAAGCATATTTGGATTTTGTTAAAGAAAATGGAAAACATTATTAAAAATGAAAAAAATTTAATCATTGTTATATTATATTATTATATAACTAATAGATTTTAGAGAATGCATAAATAGTTGACAAGAAAAAATAATTTAGTTTTGAATATATAATTATCAAATATCAGCTACAGGCTTAACTTATTTAGGTGGAGGTGTATGTGTTATACATATATATATCATATAGAAAAATAAATAAACTCCAAGAAGATAACCATAGAATATACTAAAAACACCAAATGTAAGCCCATATAAAAATCCCAAAATGCTCTTCGTGCAATCCTATGATCTTTTTGAATAATCTGCACATGATAACAAAAATGCTATAAATAACAATATAAACTGTCCTATCAAAGTTAAAATAAGCGGTATTACTCTATTACTTTCTTCTGAAATTTCTTCCCAATATTTTTCAGCAGAAATAATTAAGAAGATACAAACTCCTAGAATTCCTAAGAATGATCCAATAAAAAATTCTAAAAGTCCTCCTTCTTTAGAATAATTTTTTATATGATTATTTAAAATAAATGATTTGATTAATTCTATAACTCCTAATCCAAGATTAATAGAGAAGATAATTAAAGCTGCTAATTCTAAATCTGATTCATAATTAAATGATAAGTAAAGAACTCCAATAACTTATTACAAAATATCCATTATTTTAGATACATATTCTCTAATTTTTGTATTAGATTAGCCTTAGAAGAAATATTTTCTCTCAAAACCAAAAATGTAAATATGAAAAATTGCCCATGCTCCAACCTATGAAAAAAATTCTTTCAAAGTGTAAGTCCTCAAATCACGATCAGCGATCATTATAATAAAAAATATAATTCTACTCAGCATTCCGATAATGAGATTGATATCCAATCTCTCAATTTCAACTTGACTACACAAAAATGAAAGTACTCCATCTATTATATCTATTGCATCACAACATCTCATGAAAAAATATTTATAAAAAATAAAATGTAAAAGGCATCTATTTTTACATTTAAATTAAAAAAAAAAAATATTCTACTTCTTGATAAATATTATTATTACTTCTTTTTACATTATTTTTAATTAAAAGGAAAATATTTTATGAAATAATTATCATATTAGAAAAGATTAGGACAAAAAAAAAAAGAAGTTTGCAATTTTGATAATTTTAATAATAATTATAATTTAAATAAAATTGATTTGATTATGGTTCATATCCTTAATAACAATCAGGAATTATTAATTTTTTATATTTCCACCAACAATTAATTATGATTGAGATAATCAAAACTATAAAATTTATGGTTATATAAAATTAGTTTTGAAGGGTAGTAAAGAATTTAGATTTTAGTTTAGTGATATAATTTGATCCAACAAAAAAAGTTGGAATAAATGCTGTTATTGATTTTGTCACTTCTTGAAAAATAATATACTTATTAATTTTAAATAACATTTAATAGACTTCTTTATATAATTTATAAATGTTCAATTGGATATTCAAATAGAAAAAAATTACTCTGGTAATTACATTGGATATTATGATTGATTTACCAATTTCATTAACTATTAATGGAATAAAATTAATAATTCCTGATCGTTATTAAGCATATGAACCATAATCAAATCAAATCAATTTTATTTAAATTATAATTATTATTAAAATTATCAAAATTGCAAACTTCTTTTTTTTTTTGTCCTAATCTTTTCTAATATGATAATTATTTCATAAAATATTTTCCTTTTAATTAAAAATAATGTAAAAAGAAGTAATAATAATATTTATCAAGAAGTAGAATATTTTTTTTTTTTAATTTAAATGTAAAAATAGATGCCTTTTACATTTTATTTTTTATAAATATTTTTTTTTGGGAAGTTGTTGGGATTGCAACGATTTAATAGATGCTTTGATCTCGTGTTTTTGCTCTTGTTGCGTTGAAACTTACAGATTAGATCTCAATTAAATTCTTAGATTATCGTGCAGAATTGGATTTTTTATTCTCATGATTTATGATCGAGATTTGAAAACTTTTACTTTAGCAGAGTTTAGTTCATTAATAGAAGAGAGGGGGGTTTTTTTATTTACCTCACTTTTGTTGAGGATGTTTATTTCATTGAAGGAGAATCTCAAACCCGCAAAAGAGAACTTTGGTATAAAATTTTGGACATTTTTTAATAAGGTATTGGAATTCTTTACCTATCATTTAATTATGAATCAGGTTTGGAATTAACAGCTTTATATGTTTTTTTTTAAATTTTGTATTAGGGATTTTTGAATTATTCAAATCCCTTTGTTAAAAACCTCATATTAAAGATTATAATCAATAACGAGGGCTTAAGGAATTTTTTTTAGGAGCATTCTTAGAATGTCTTGTAGTTATTATATTGTTTACAATGAATTTGGTTAAGTACTGGAATTATATTTCCTCTGTAGTTGCTACAATGCTTATTGTCACTTTGATAGAACATTTTATTCTGCTTATAGAAGTATTTATACACATGTGTCAATCATTTTCAAAAACATCAAACGATTGCACGAAAAGCGTTTTAGGATTTTTATATGGAATTACTTTTGGTTTTTTCTGCATATTTTATGGTAATTATTTGTAATTGATTTTGGAATTCTTATAATGGGCCAAAATATGCAAAAAATAATAAATATTTTCTTTATGAAAATTGATTATCTTTTCTTCAAAATTAAATTATTTTTCACAATGTCCCCAACTATTTTTCATTGCATTCTCTAAATTCTTTTGCTTATCTAATTCTATCAAATAGCAATGCTTTAAATTTTTTGGCATTTATATGATGACATCTTATTCTTACTTAAGATTTATATATTTTTATTATATAGAACTGGGATAATTTTATTGATAAAGTTTATACTAAACTCATCTCTTGGATTTTGATAGTATCATTATGGTTTATTTTTAAATACTAATAATAAAATATACTAAAATCATAAAATTTAGATAATATTTTACAAATAGTATAATAAATATTTTAATTGTTTAATATAATGAGATCAAATTCATTTATTGAATCTCTTTTCAAGTTCACTCAAAATTTACAATTACTCTACTTCATCTTCATCCTCAAACAATGAATCCCTTAAATCAAATATATATGATCTCTCCAAAGATTGTAAACTATTTTACTTTAAACTTTTCAATATTTCTTTTTAATCAGTATTTTTTCCAACAAAAATAATATCTTTTGCTTCAAGAAATTTAAAGTTATCTTTTAAATGTTTCTTATCACTTTCTATATTCTAACTCAAATGAAAATTAGTTATTGCCAATGAGATCAATTTTTTAAGATTATTAAAATATTTTAAAATTACTAAAGCTTTCTTTTTCATTAAATCAGTTCTCTCAAAGTTAATTACTACCAAAATTGATCTAATTCTATTTGGGAATCTCTTAAACAATTTCTTATAATCATCTATCTATTCCTCTCTTTAATCGTAATCAGAATCAAAATCAAATGATGAAGTATCAACAAAATAATATTTAATCTATTTACTCCATAATATTTATGGCTCAAATAACTTCATTTCCTAATTTGTATTAAATATCTTATTCATTAAAAATGTTTTACCATTACCTGCTTATCCTATTAATAGGCATAACGGAATATCTTCAGGAATTTTCTCAGGCATTGGTTCTGGATCATCGATATTATGTTAATTATCTTCAGATTAAATATCATTTGTATTTGAATTATCAAAAATTATGGTTGTTTCTTTCTCTGAATCTTTAATTATTTACTCTGTATTTGTAGAAATACTAGACAATGTACTTTCTGTTTATAAATTTTATTTTTCATTATCGTTATTTTTTTTAATTCCAGTTTCGATAGGTTGGTTTGATTTCCAACGATTTAAATTAAGATAATTTTAATTATCCTCAGAAACTTATTATCTTTTATTTTTGATCTCCATTGTCAAATAACTTTGAACTTTATTGATTTTTGGACTTAAATTCAATTTTTGAATCAATTCTATTTCTTACTTAATTACATGAGGGGGATTGCAAATTTTTTCAGCAGTATTTATAAGTTAAGTAATTATTTTAGGTTTAAAGACCTCATGGCCTAGCCAGTGTTTTTCTTTGAACTAATTTTTTTAAAATTACGGCATTTGTCTGATTCTTATGTAAAATAATCCTAAATAGAGCAAGATGAAGCTTTATATTATTTTTGTTGATTTAATAGAATTAACAAAAAATATTCTGTTATAATAAAAAAGTTTATATAATCAGAATATATAAATAAAAAAAATAATATAATCATTATTATTAATAATATTTGAATCATACTTTATTCAAGATCATTTATAAAATCAATGATTTAAAAAAATTTTTTTTTCAGCATTATTTATAACTTTTAATCTATGTTCTTAAAATTAAAAACTCTAGTAGTTTTAGTAAATAATTAATTCATAAGCAATTAGGAAAGAGTTGCGCTAAATTTAATAATGAAAAGTCAGTTTTATTTCATTTTAAACTATTAATAAAAAAAATCATTCTCTCAAATTTTAAAATTAATGTATTAAACTTCTAAGCATTAGGGCTAAAAATTCAAAATTTTTCATAATTTAGCAATCAATATTCTTAGGGTAAAATTTTAATAATTAATCCAACTTTCGTATCAATTTCTATATTTTTATAATCAATCTCTATACAAACTTAAATGTAAAGTATAAATTATAAAAAAAATAAAATAAAATCTTTATCGATAAAAATTTTTAATAATATGTATTTAAAGTTTCAATATAATGATCAACTGAATGACTTTCTTAATTGATCAACTATTATATCTTGATCATCATCATTAGGCTTCTCAAATATCGTGTCTTATAAATCAAATTGATATTCTTGATTAATCTCAATTAAACAATTAGATTATTTTATTTAATCTATTAATTCTTCTTAAGTTGTTTCCTTTCCTACAAATAAAATAGATTTAAATTTAAAAACTCTAAAGGCTTTCTATAAGTCACTATTATCCTTTTCTTAATCTTCACTTAATTCAAAGTGGCTTATAATTAAGCTAATTTAACTTTAAAACTTTTTAAAGTAAGGTAAAACATTTAATGCAGATTTTTTCATAATATCTGTTCTTTCAAATTTAACAACAATCAATAAAGTAGCCACTTTATTAGGATAGCTATCAAAGATACTTTAAAATTATTTGATTTGTTATTCTCTTGAATCAATATTACTTTTGAAGTCAAAAGAATTTGTATCAATGAATTTATATTCAACAGTTCTTTGATTGTTAATTTTATTGAAAATCGATGTCTTACCAACACCAGCTTCTCCAATTAATAATGCAATTGGCTAATCTTTATTAAGTGATTGAATAGGTTGGGTATCCAGTAGAGGATTAGGTTAAGGATCAGGTAGAAGATCAGTTTAAGGATCAGGTAAAAGCTCAGGTAGAAGATCAGGTTAGGGATCTGGTTAAGTATCACAATACTTGATCCGATAAATAAATCTACTCTTTTAAACAAATCTTAAGCATGGTAGAAATATCCTATTTCTACAAATTTAACAAAGAATACAAACTCTCTGATAAACAAAGCTAAAGCATGGTTTTAATATATTGATGAATAAAAATAATGTAAGACTGAGAGTAATCTCATAAAATAGTCCTAAAATTATTCGTAAAGTGAAATTGTATAAAAATAAAATAAAATTCCAAATTAGTAATGCGAATAATTTAGGGAAGGTTTTGGTTTAAGATAAAATTTATTAGAAAAATTAGCAAATATTTGTTAAAAGTAGCTTATGTTATTAAAAATTGTCAAAAATTTAATTAATTGATTTTTTTATTTTTAATTATCTATTTTTTTTTTCTTTTTGAAAAATGTTTACAATTTCATCATAAGGTCGAATAATCAATTAATATATGTAACTAAATAAAGAAAAAATGAAAATGAATAGACTTGACTTTAAAGGGTCAAAAGTAATTTTAAATTTACTTTTTTTAGTAGAATAATGTAAACAATCTTTAGTGATATGATTATCTTCTATTTTTATTTAAGTATCAATATGTTACTGTTATTCTATGTTTTATCTTTTCTGATGAAATTAATCATTATTCTAAAAAGGTATTTAATGATTCATTTATAATTATATTAAATTTTATTTAATTGATAAAGTTTCTTATTATTTATAATTGTATCCATATTCAATAGTTTATTCAAAATGTAATGTTTCTACTAATGCATTATTTTATTAAATATATTATTTTTCTACTTATTTATTATTTTTTTCATTAAGTTTATTTTGGAATAAATCATTATTTTATTCAATATTTTATGTTTCTACTTATTCATTATTTTATTCAATAAGTTAATTTTCTACTTAATCATTATTTTATTCAATATTTTATGTTTCTACTTATTCATTATCTTAATCAATAAGTTTAGTATCTTCTTATTTATCCTTCTATTCAACATTTTATGTTTCTACTTATTCATTTTTTTAATCAATAAGTTTAGTATTTTCTTATTTATCCTTCTATTCAACATTTTATGTTTCTACTTATTCATTTTTTTAATCAATAAGTTTAGTATTTTCTTATTTATCCTTCTATTCAACATTTTATGTTTCTACTTATTCATTTTTTTAATCAATAAGTTTAGTATTTTCTTATTTATCCTTCTATTCAACATTTTATGTTTCTACTTATTCATTTTTTTAATCAATAAGTTTAGTATTTTCTTATTTATCCTTCTATTCAACATTTTATGTTTCTACTTATTCATTTTTTTAATCAATAAGTTTAGTATCTTCTTATTTATCCTTCTATTCAACATTTTATGTTTCTACTTATTCATTTTTTTAATCAATAAGTTTAGTATCTTCTTATTTATCCTTCTATTCAACATTTTATGTTTCTACTTATTCATTTTTTTAATCAATAAGTTTAGTATCTTCTTATTTATCCTTCTATTCAACATTTTATGTTTCTACTTATTCATTTTTTTAATCAATAAGTTTAGTATCTTCTTATTTATCCTTCTATTCAACATTTTATGTTTCTACTTATTCATTTTTTTAATCAATAAGTTTAGTATCTTCTTATTTATCCTTCTATTCAACATTTTATGTTTCTACTTATTCATTTTTTTAATCAATAAGTTTAGTATCTTCTTATTTATCCTTCTATTCAACATTTTATGTTTCTACTTATTCATTTTTTTAATCAATAAGTTTAGTATCTTCTTATTTATCCTTCTATTCAACATTTTATGTTTCTACTTATTCATTTTTTTAATCAATAAGTTTAGTATCTTCTTATTTATCCTTCTATTCAACATTTTATGTTTCTACTTATTCATTTTTTTAATCAATAAGTTTAGTATCTTCTTATTTATCCTTCTATTCAACATTTTATGTTTCTACTTATTCATTTTTTTAATCAATAAGTTTAGTATCTTCTTATTTATCCTTCTATTCAACATTTTATGTTTCTACTTATTCATTTTTTTAATCAATAAGTTTAGTATCTTCTTATTTATCCTTCTATTCAACATTTTATGTTTCTACTTATTCATTTTTTTAATCAATAAGTTTAGTATCTTCTTATTTATCCTTCTATTCAACATTTTATGTTTCTACTTATTCATTTTTTTAATCAATAAGTTTAGTATCTTCTTATTTATCCTTCTATTCAACATTTTATGTTTCTACTTATTCATTTTTTTAATCAATAAGTTTAGTATCTTCTTATTTATCCTTCTATTCAACATTTTATGTTTCTACTTATTCATTTTTTTAATCAATAAGTTTAGTATCTTCTTATTTATCCTTCTATTCAACATTTTATGTTTCTACTTATTCATTTTTTTAATCAATAAGTTTAGTATCTTCTTATTTATCCTTCTATTCAACATTTTATGTTTCTACTTATTCATTTTTTTAATCAATAAGTTTAGTATCTTCTTATTTATCCTTCTATTCAACATTTTATGTTTCTACTTATTCATTTTTTTAATCAATAAGTTTAGTATCTTCTTATTTATCCTTCTATTCAACATTTTATGTTTCTACTTATTCATTATTTTATTTATTAATTTAATTTTATACTTAATTATTATTTTATTCAACATTTTATTTTTCTACTTCTTCATAATTTTAATCAATAAGTTTAGTATCTTCTTATTAATGATTTTATCCCATATGTTATGTTTTTACTTATTCATTACTTTATACAATAATTTTAGTATCATATTATTCTTCATTTTAATCAATATTTTATGTTTCTACTTAATCAGATTTTGTCGAATCTCTTTCAATATTATTTTTATTAAATCCATCTTCATCTAAGTCTTAACTTGATTATCTTCCAAAACTCATTATAAATTTTAAATTTCCTTTCATATTCTTTAAAAGGTTTAAAAGCAATTTATTACATCTAATAGAATTACTTTAATAGAATTTTTATATATATAAAATTTTGATATATTTACATACTTATAATATTTTGCTAAAACATTAAATATTAATCAATCTAGTAAAATTATCATAAAATTTGAGTTAAATTATAAATAATCACTCTTAATATTATTATAATTTATCATATACTTCTTTTAAAACTACTTCTAATGTTGGTTTGTCTAATTCTTTTAAAAGTGATAGTATGGCACATAAAATATTTGAATTTCTTTCATCCTCATAATCTTATTATACCATTTGTCTTTAGTATTATTATTATTGTTACTATTATTGTAATAATTGTGATTATTGTTATTGTTAAATTGATTATTGATATTGTTATTGTTACAAATATTATTATTATTATTGTTTTTCTCTTTCTCTTTATATTTATTATTATTGTTATTAATAAATTAGTTACTGTTATTATTACTAATGATTTTGTTGAATTTGCTATTATGATTATCTTTATTGATTTGGTAATTATTCTCTTTAATTAGAATATCTTCCTCCCCCATTATTTGGAGAATTTTGATTAGGTTTAATAACTTCTACGAATTGTAGCATTTATTCATCTACTTTTGATGTCTTTGTTGGTGGACTTTATGAAATTCCATATTACAATTATTATTATGCGTTTGCCCTATCTTGTTGGTTAATGATAACATCATCCAATTTTTCAAGTGTTTATGAATTGGAAATTACAGCATCTCTATAATTAGGATGATCGGCAATAGGATTTTCTAATGTTTGATTAAATTTTACCTTGAAGCCATAAAACTTTCAATTTAGGTAATTATTATAAGAATTGTAATTCTGTTATATTTGATATATTGTTTTTCCTCAAATACAGTTCTTTGATATTTTTACATTTTGCGATATCAGCTAAAGTAGTAATCCTATTAACAGACAAAGAAAGAACTTCAAGATTAGGGAGTCGTTCAATTATTGAGATATCATCTAAATCATTTCCCCATAAGTTCAATGATTTAATGCTGTATAAAGCTTCAGTTTTAGCTTTCTAAGCAATTAATGTTGAAGTTAGAGGTTTAGACATAATTTTTAATGGTTATATTAATTTTAATAATCAATTTTATAGTTTATCAAGTATTATTTATTAAGATATTGCTTTTTTTTAGGTCAATGCATTATTTATCAATACAGTAAATGTATCTCGTTGAACTAAATCAAGATGTTATATGATTGCCTCATCTATTCTAACTTAATCCAAAACTTTAACTATTCATAGAATATACAAACCAAGTATAATCTATTTCTCTATTAATCAGAAGGATAAACAATCTGTAATATTTTTTATTGACGGTAATTCATCAATCTATATGTATTTAATTTCTAATTGAACTTTTTTAAACATTTAATTATCTTTATTATTCTTGTTCTCTTCTATTTCTTATTCACTTTTCCATTATACACTCAGTACTATACTTCAATAAACTTTAACCACAATATTTGTAGTACCAACATAGGGATTATTATTATTCCATCTTTTCAAAAGCAACTTATTAATAATGCCTTTGATTCGATAATTTAAAGGCAAAATCAGAATTTACCATCAATCTACTTAACTTAAAAATTAAACCTTTAATAAAATTCTCTTATTTCCAGTATCATTACCAATTTACTAGGACTCTTCTTCTGCATACTTCTTTATCTTTTATCTTAGAGTATTTTAACTAATTTTGCTTTTTAATGATTATTCATCCTCTTACTAATTACAGATGTAAAAAAGCATATACAATACACAATGTTACTCCTTGAATTAAAATAGAGAATGATTTAATTCTTTATTAATTTTTTACGAATCCGCACATCTGCTGAAAGTAGGTCTTAATTACTGTTATTATTTATTTTCTTAATTTTTCTTTTATCTCTATTACTAAATTTAACTCATTAGCTCCTGATTAACTTTCTAACTCTTAACTAAGTGTTTTATTAAAATTAATAATATTAATTAGTACCCATAAATGATTTAGTCTACATTCATTCAAATATCATTTATAAATTATTCTCTTTTATTTTTATTATATCAAATAAAAGTATTATGGATTAAGATTTGAAATTCCTTTTCTATAAACAATATCCTTTTAATTTAAATTTACAATTTCAACATCTAAATGATTATTCTTTTACACTTTTAAGTATATTGATAAATTGTGTCATAAAATCAACTGCTCATAAAATTAATATTAAATTAGCAGAAGAATATTTTAAAGGATGGAGCCAAAAAAAGGATTTACTTATTGGGTCATTATTTTGAAGCTAATAAGAAGACTATTATAAATGATTTCAAATCAAACAGATTTAATAATTAATCTGAAATATAAGTATAAATATATATTTTAAATAATTATAATTGCTTGAAAATCTATTAAATCATAATGATAAAAAAATATTCACAAATACTCAAGATGAGATACTCTGCCAAGGATTTTATCATTTGTGGCATCAGTCATCTTTCTTCTTAATTTTTTCCTTTGCGAGAAATAAAGTCATAATACTCTCATATCTGAAGCTTTAGTTTAATCTTAAGTTTAGAAATAAATTATATATTAAAATATCTTATTAAATACATTTTCTTTCATCCTTGTAATTCAAATTCTTAGATAGATACAACTATTGTTTTAAAAGTTCCACCCCATCAATTCAACAATTATTCCCTCATATCTTCGCTTTCACAAGCTATTTGTTTTTATAATACTTTTGACTGCTCCAGTTAATATATCTTTGGTCTATCCTCTGTCATTTTAATAACACTCTATTGTGAAATTAACATTATAATTCATGATTATCTCATTTTTCTAATGATCCCTCTTACCTCTATATTATTTATACTACATTTCCATATCTCTCTACTAGGTTACCAACAAACCTGACAAATAATTCAGTGCCAAGTAAGTTTCTAGCACTGTTCCACAAAACTGAGGCTTTATATTTAAGGCTAGTAACCTTGATCTCCATAGTTGGATGCGTTTCATTATATGATTTTTTAATCTTTTTTATCTTACCATGCAAAATTACATTAATTAGCCACTTTATTACTTATAATTACCCTTTAAAATTGGTTAAAATTAATAATCCTTTTAATAGATAGAATAGTAGGAGATTCTCTTTAAAAAAAAGTAACTTATGATAACTAGGAGTTATAATCTTGGCATTTAATAGAATTAAGGAAGATCGCATAGAAGATAAGATTTCTAAACTTCTATATCTTGCCCTATCACTGCATATCAAAATACAAAAAAGCTTATTATCTAAATTCTTAATTTATTTATCACACTTTATCTCATTTACAGGATTGCTCAAATATCTCTAAATTGATTTCTTGATAGCCTACCATATAAAGTAGCACACGAACTTCGTGACCAAAAAGGATAGGTATTAAAAACTTAGCACATTTATCAGGGAAGGGAATGGTAAGGACGATTGAAAAAGATTTAATTAGGTTTAAAGCAAAATTGATGATATCCAATAATTCTGCCACTTGCATTAGTAGTAAGCCTAAAACTAAATAGATTCCTTCGCAATAGTTTCAGATAATATTTCTGTTTAGCTAGTCTCTCAACTTTTGTATTTTAAAACTTGAAGGTAATCAAATATTGTTCACCTTACATTGTCTAGAATCTATAAGATGATTATTATAATGAATGCAAAATCTTATAATTTTCCAACCCACTCTAACTACAGCCTGAGGCCCAACTATAATTATTTTTTATTACAATGCTTTCCTGAATATTCTAATGGCCACATCTTCATCTACAAGTATTATTTTTGGATAAGAAATTGCTTGTAA